CTATCTATCTATCTATCTATCTATCTATCTATCTATCTATCTATCTAACTATCTATCTATCTATCTATCCACCTCAGAAATACCCTGCCCCTCACAGTTGCTCCTTTTTATTAATTAATTTATTTAATGGGTTATACTTTATTTATTAGTTCCTTGATTAGTCCCACGAGGGGAAATTTGAGTGGTACCACATACAAAAGGTCACCAAAACGTGTATTAAGTAACTCATTTTCTCTTCTCACCAAACCCCCAGAGTACATCACCGCAAGATTTGGGAGCAAAGACTTTGAGAGCTATGCCGTATTCTCAATAGACGACCACCTGGGTGACACTGTGATTCTATCCATGTTCATTCGCACCAGACAGTCCAATGGACTGCTCCTCATCCTGGCAAACAGTACTAGCCAGTACCTCCGGCTATGGCTAGAAGATAGCAAAGTCAAACTTCAGGTCAACAACTTTGAGACCCTCGTCGGTCGGAACGGGATCGCCGATGGCCATTTCCACCTGCTGACAGTGAAGCTGGAGGGAACGGTGGCCAGTTTGTACCAGTCGGCCCAGAGTCAGGGCTCCATGACCATCAGGCACGTCCAAGCCCATCCGGGGGATCTGGTTTTTGTCGGTGGGCTTCCGGACACGAGGGCCTCTGCTTCGTTCGGTGGCTACTTTAAGGGATGCATCCAGGATCTGAGGCTCAATCGCAGACGGCTGCAGTTCTATCCAATAGCAGCCCCCGTCGAGTCTTACGCTTTGGAGAAGCTTACCGACGTGGCAGAGGGATGCAGCAGCGACAACGCGTGTGCTGTGAGTCCTAACAGTTGACGCCCACCGAACCAGTGCACCTAAACGAAATGCGGACACGGAATGAATATGGCGCCTATATGTGTTGTTCCCCTCTGAAACAGGTAAACCCGTGTCTTAACGGCGGCGAGTGTTACGCCATGTGGGATGACTTCATCTGCAGCTGTCCACCTAACACAGCTGGGCGACGCTGTGAGGAGGTGAAGTGGTGTGAGCTGTCTCCCTGTCCTGCCACGGCCGTGTGCCAGCTACACTCGCAGGGCTTTGAGTGTAAGTGTCATGCAAGGTTGTTACATGCATTAGAGAGCAGGTGTCAAACTCCAGCCCTCGAGGGTTCGGTGCCCCGCAGGTTTTAGAGGTGTACCTGTTTCAACACACCTTATTCACAACAAAGAACCATTAGCAGGCTGGTGCAAAGCTCAACAATGTCCAGAGGAGAGCCATTTTAATCAGAATCAGGTGTGTAGAGGCAAGAAAATGTCTAAAACCTGCAGGGCAGCGGCCCTTGAGGACTGGAGTTTGAGACCCCTGCATTAGAGGAAACGTTACTTTATATATATATATACATATATATATACTATAATTATTATATCTATATTTTTTTTCATAAATATTAGGTCCATTGTAGATAGAAATATAGTAGAATTACCATTCCATGCTACGAAAGTCGGGGGGAAAAAATCCATAATTCACTGATGAGGGCTTGTGATTAATTACATTCTGGTTAATTACAAGTGGGAACAGATTTGAAGCAGAGATCCTACCTCTAAGGCGTGATAATCCCTGGACAGATTAGTTCTGCCAGCAGATGTCTTTAGTGGTTTATGAGAAATCTTCCTGGGCGTGTCACATGCTCTCCAAAAAGAGATGGAGGGAAGCCTTTGACCTGGAGCACCTTGCAGGTCAAACACACGGGCTCTTCACAGACATTCTAATTAGTTGTTTAAAAAGATTAACAGGGTAAAATACAAATAGCAAATGCTTTATTTGCAGGAATACGAATATAAATATAAAATTTTGACCCCCTATCAGACTGTAGTGGTTTTATTTCCCATTAATGATATGGATGTCTATAATACAGCTGTGTTTAAATGTTTTTTGCCCAGCAACGCTAAGTATGTCATTAATCTTTACCTTAGGTTTGTCCAACGTGACGTTTCGACCTGAAAGCAGAGTTCTGCAGTACCGCAGCAATGGAAAGATCGAGCGCAGCCTCGCCAGTATCTCCCTCAGCTTTCGAACGAGACAGCCTGACGCCATCTTGCTTCACGCGCAAAGGGAAGCAGACCACCTCACCATCTCGCTTCTTAACTCCCGTTTGAAGCTGACGCTCCGGGTCGGGGCTGGTAAAGGCTCGCCGGAGGTAACAGCTGAAAGCCAGGCTTCCCTCAGTCAAGGAGAGTGGCACAATGTGGCCATCACCAAGGAGACGCAGTGGACTGTGGTTTTGGACGGAGGCAAGGAGATCATAAGTGTGTCTGAAACAGCTCTGGAGGACCTGAATTTTCTTAGGGAGGGAGCAGACGTCTTCCTGGGGGGACTAAACCAGGACTCTGGCGTGAGCTTCTCAGGCTGCCTTGGTCCAGTGGAGATTGGGGGCCTTCTTCTTCCTTTCCACCTGGACACAGAGCTGAACCTCCCCAGACCTCAGGAGGAGCAGTTTGAGAGGATCCAAACCTCTTCGGCCCCTCAGTACGGCTGCTTCGGAACCAGCGTGTGCTCGCCCAACCCGTGCCAGAACGCGGGTGCGTGCGAGGACCTTTTCGACTCGCACCGATGCGCGTGTTCGGCCGAGTGGACGGGCCCACTGTGCCGAGAGCCCACAGATAAGTGCAGGTCCAGCCCGTGCGTCCACGGCGTCTGCGTCAACCAGCCTGAAGGGTTTCAGTGCGAGTGCAAGCCGGGCCACACCGGCGAAAGGTGCGAGGCGGAAATCGACGCTTGCGAGAACAGCACTTGCGGCCACGGCGCCACGTGCCTCAAGGGCTTCCAGAGCTACACCTGCCTCTGCCCCAGGAACATGACAGGGACTTACTGCAAGTAAGTTTGCCTCAGACACCAATTTTAGGACACAGCCATGAAAAAAATTTTAAAAAATAGAGCAATATTGACAATCTAAGTCAAAATGTGCTTGTCTTACAGTGAGAAAATTCCTGAAATTCCATGGTACATTGAAATAGACCCGTAAGTACTTGGACAAAAAAAGAGAAAATCACTTGAAATAATTAAAGGGAACTTGCACTGTACTTTAAAAAAATATTATTTCCGCTTTAGACTTCCTCAGCTTCCTGTAACATCTTGTATGGGCATGAAATGGAACTACAGCTGCTTCAACGGTGGAAACTGCTCTAAAACCGACAATACCTGCTACTGCCTTCCAGGCTTTACGGGACAATGGTAAGGCAATAAAGACACCAATATCCAAAGCATGGTACAGCACTGAGAGTGAGACCACTGTGGAACTCGGTTGCTCTAGTTGTCAAGAAAAGAACCGTTTCATTACAGAATGAAGAAATAAAAATAAAAAAGTAATCCGGTCTTTTACAAGTCGTAAAATTAGGTGAGAAAACAACACCACATATTGTACTGGAGCTTAAAAAAACAAACAAAGGTTACATGCCGAAGTATTCTCCATCACTCAGCATCTTTTAGAAACACCTTCAGCAGCAGTAACCTGAAGTAATAATTCTCTGCTCTCAGATGTTATCAGCATCCTAAATTATTGTGGAGGGAATTGGGCTTTCTCTTTTGTACAACAAAGCTTCATATCATAGGGGATAGAACTTTAACATTTTTTACTTAAGCGTGCTTTGGTATACAGAGCAGTGTGAGGCGGACCCAGTGTTTGCAAGGTGGCTGAAAAACAAGCCCAAATCATCAGCACTCCACCACCGTGCTTTACAGCTGGAAGGAGAGTCTTTCCATACAAGCTGAATCTGTTCACTCTTTTTTCAAATTGTACCAACAATCTTTATTATTTCATATGCAACATATAAACCTGTGGAGTCAGACATAACGGACTTCCCAAAGACAAACTTTGATTTTGAGGCTTTGGTCTTACAATTGATTCCAAATAACTGAAAAATGGCTTTATAACCAATGCTTCTTCTTTTTAGAGGCGAGACTTGATGATGATCAGTTAATTGTGTTATCGGCTACTAATTACCCTTTGAATCTCCATTAAAGCAGTAATGGTGTATCTCATGCAGCTTTAACCATTTTTCTCTCAAAGATCATCAAACAACTGTTTTACTAAATCAATAAACAACTTAAACTAACTACTAAATGAATAATTACAAAATTTTTATTATCCGAAATATTACCAAGTAAACTGAAGATGTGGTAAGATGACCGGATGATTTTTTTTTTTCCACCTCAAAAATTTAACTTTAAAAATGAAAAGACTGCATTTCCTCAGACAGTTACAGAACATTTTGTCCTAATTTTTTCTCCCACCGTTGTGCTTGCAGGTGCGAGAAGGACGTGGATGAATGTGCCTCAGATCCATGTTTGAACGGAGGCTTCTGCATCAACTACGTGAACAGCTTTGAATGTGTGTGTGATATGAATTACTCGGGGATCTACTGCCAAATGGACGTCAGCGACTTCTACATGTATCTCTTCCTGGGACTGTGGCAAAACCTCTTCCAGCTGGTGTCCTATCTCGTGATACGACTTGACGATGAGCCAGAAATCGAGTGGGGATTCTACGTCAATGAATAGACATCTATGCTGTCTGCTGGTATGCTCTAACTGGACCAAACAGAGGGTCATACAGGGGTACTTAAGTACTTAGAAGTATTCTAAACAGAGAGCACAGTTCTTAACTGGAGAAGAGACCAGTCGTTTTGGCTGAATAGAATTTTGTCTTCCCATTGGCAGATACCCGCAACGAAAACCACTCTTATCAGTTCAAACGTCCAGAAAAGTTCAAAAAGTTATGCCCTTACATGCTTTTCAGGTTTGTTCTGCACAGATCTGTTTACGCAGAGTGGGTTTCGGCCTCTGAAGAGATGAAGAACGGCTATACAAACCGTGCATTCATCCAGTGTACTGACAGAATCAGTACTAGCAATGTCTGCTCTGCACAGATTTATGCGGTAAAAACATACGTAACCATGTTTGTTGCAGTTTTTAACTCAAGTTTTGTAATGAAAACCAACATTTGAGAGCTCTGTGTGTGCCTTAAATGTTCGCTTTGTATTCAGAGGTAACAGTAAATTTATAACCATACTCGAACCCGTTCACTAGATATTAACATCAACTCTTTATCTCGTCACTGGAACGTTCCAGTATTACATTTACTTATGAACGCTAACATTTAAATATTAAAGAAGAACCATTCAAATAAATGCACTGCGAGGGGCGTCTGGGACGGTGGCGGGCGCCTCCTCAGTCCTGCTCGTGCAGCTTGCATTCACAGAGTTCTCTGTAGATCCTCTTTCGTATCTTTGGTATGTCGTTTTGCGAAAACTGGAGCGGCCGGGACAGGGCGAGGCACCTCGAGTACTGCAAAGGAGGATCGGCACGCGGTGAGTGCACACAAAGCCGGCGGCTAACGCTCGGAGAGAAGGAGGAAAAAAGAAAGAAAGAAAGCAAGATGTACCTCCAAGACGAACACGCCGCAGTCGTTCTCGTTGGTCTGCTGTGGGACGTTCTGTGCGAGGACAGGGGGAGAACATGGGACATCACGTCAAGCACGTCAGCTCTGTTTACAAATGCCCCGAGAATGTCCTCGCGTTCGGGTCTAGCAAAGGATTTTTACCCCCGAAAAAAGAAGAGAAAAAAAAAAAAAAAAGAATGAATGTAACCAGGTTTTATCCAGGTTGCAGAGTACCAGCTTAGAAGCAGAGCCGGCTGCAACAATCACGTTGGTCACTGAATCTCCTGGCCAATGTGTGTGTCATGTTGTGAAAATAAAATTTTTTCCAGTTCAACATGGATGGCTTTTTTAACAAAAGAAGACATCCAGTTGCCCTTAGTCGTGCTCTTAGGATTATAATAGCCTGGATGACCGAGAATAAGTATGTATCATACAATTTTAATTAAAAAAAGTCAAGGAATTAACCTGTGTTGTGTGAACATTTTAGCTAAGACTTCATTAGAATTTGCATTTTTAGAATCTTATCTTTCACAACCACTCAAAAAGAAAATATTTTGTTCCATCTTTTTTAGTTTCATCCACACTATAAAAATTGTTTTAAAAAGAGTGATCAATTCAGAAGAATGAGCAAAATGATTTTTTTTTTTTTAAATATTTCCATTACAAATATGGTACCTATGGCTGCACTTACTTTGTGTTTTCCTGAGAATGTAAGTAGACATTTTAATCTTTTTTTGTTTTGTTTATCAGGACTCAGTCTATATCAGACTAAACACATTGCAGTATTTGGCCAGTAGGAGGCAGCAATGAACTTAGTTTCTGCCTGGTTTGAAGGAAATTATTTTTCTTTTTTTTGCTTGACTGAGGCAGAGCATCACTTTAATGTGGCCCGAGAGCACTGGGACACATACAGCTACTACTTGTGAAAAACTGAGGCACGTGAAGTCAGCCTACCTCATTGAATGACACCGTCCACCCTTCTTCAAAAGCCCTTTGGTGCTTCTCCCGTGCTTCCGTCATCAAGTATTTCAGGATATTCTGATGAAAGAAAGAGCGCCGGAAGAAGGCAATCTTAAAATTCACAGTTGTCGAAGGTTACAAGGCGAACGGATGAGGCTTTTTCTTTTTATTACCCTTCCAACTTTCTGCAGGGCGTTCCCTTGAGAGTCGTAAAGGCAGATTTTCTTTGTGGCGATGTCGGCCGTCACCAAACACCAGTGAACCTCCAGGTGGACGGGGACGAGAAGAAGGCTCTTGGAGAACAAATTCACCTGTTCAAGAGAGGCGCGAGTCAACCCGTCTATCTTTGTCGTTCGAAGTCTTAAAAAAAAAGGAAGTTCTCTAAAGACCCATAAGCCATCGCATCTAACCTGCTTTGTCCATCGTCTCACGCCGTCATACCCTTTGGTCATAAGCTGTCGGTGGAAGAAGCTGTTAAGGAAGTGGATCTAGAGGTGGACACATGAGGAGAGGAACGTTAGCTTTATGAGCATTCTGCAACTTACAAAACGGAGATGCCGGACGGAAATGGAATTTTAACAACCTGTGACACCAATTCTACAACTTGGAGAAATTAGCTTAATGAAAGGTCTGGAAATCTTGTAAAGCAACATTTTGTCCACAGCAGAACACATCAAATATAAGTATCAAAATGACTGGACATAAAAAAAGAGCACCTTAGAGAAGCAAAGCCCCAACAAACAACAAAAACAATAAACAGCATCTATAACTGATATTTTGTTTGCATGCTTTACAGTTTCACAACTTTTTTGGTTTTGTTTGGCACTGGGGTTAACTTTTCTTTTCTTTTTAGGTTGCGGTGGTGGTGGGGAGTGGTTGGGGGGGGGGGGGGGGGCCTCACAGTCCCCTCATCACTAAGCACACTCCACTTACCACTTAACTCTCATTTGCTCAAAAGTTAAACTAGTATGAGGTTTAAATCCATGTTATGATCATCTAGATTACCTTTTGCTGAGAAGACTCCATGATCAACTCCCCATACATGTTCATGACCTTTAGCAGAAATAACAACAGGTAAAAAAAACGTAAAACTGGCTTTCAAAATTCTATATGAAGACTCAAATTTCTGGTATGTTTGATGATCACCTGATCGTTGAGCCAGTTCTGATTGGCCAGGGTCAACAGATCCTCCATCGTCAGAATGTGCTTCTTGTATACTACCCGAAAAGAGGGGGTAGCTTTCTCCATGAACTCGGCTCGGCATCTGGCAGCCTCTGAATAGATGAGATGTTTCCTACAGTAAGGAGACATAATTGTGTCCAGGGATAGAAAAATAAATAAATACATTTAAAAATCAACGTATGTGCCCAATCTGAGGTCATTGGAGAGGACTTTCCGCCTTACCAGTCACTAAAGTCAGCGTTAAACCTTCTCCTCACGTGTCTCAACACGTCGCTCTTTTTAAGTGGGATGAAGCTTCCGTAGGTCCTGTAGAAATCGTCGAGGAATTCTGGAGAAACATGGAAACGCTGTCATCTCAAAAAGCCACGCAGGGGAGGAAATCTGTAAGCTCTGCAATTGGAAAAACTGTGAAAGGGCCTATGGAATGCGTGAATGGATTGTGGGTTTCTCTAGTGGCTGAGCATACCTTGGATCTCTCTCCTGAGTGCGCTGAAGTCAGAGATCAGACAGGGCGTCGTCGTTTCTCGGCCGACTGTCCCATCGGTTTCTCCTTCCGTTGACTGCCCCTGAACGTGAGGGCCGGCGTGATCCCGTGGCTCTGGGCTTTGGGCTCCCGGGTCCAGGCGCTGTGCCCTCCACTTGCTATCAGCACACTGCTGAGGTCGGACAGTGCAATAAGGTTTTGAGGGATGTGCCGAACTCTGCGTGGACTCCGAAAGCTCTGCGGGGGATGGGGTGATCTGGCCGGTGGGATCTGTGTCGGAGAGTTGCAAACGACTGGGACCGGCGAGCACGTCCACAACCTGGTTGGATTCATTCCGCTTCAGCGGGCCGTTCTGTCCTCCGAGGGCTGCTTCTGAGCATCCGGCGTCGTGTCCGAGGGGCGTCGCAAGGCCCGGCGTGCTAACCGGGGGGTTCTGTCTGTCGGGTTTGTCACACGCTCCGTGTTTTTTAGCTCTCGGTAACTGTGTCTTTAACCTGAGGCAGAGCCTGGGACCAGAGTCGGCCGCAGGGGCTCGTCTTCCGCCACTGAATATCCAAAAGCGGCACTTCTCTCTCCTCTTTCTCCACATCCAAAGCTGTAATTTACAATACATCCGCCTCTTGTCCCGTCTGGCCAAATGGGTCACTCCTTTGACGGAAGACAAGAATTTCCTCTTCCTCTTTAGGCCTTTTGCTTTCCTCCAGTGGTTCTGTGTTTGGTGCATCTTGCAGAGATGAAAAGGTGAATAGCAGAGACTCACATAAACACATTTGGTTATGCCGGTCCTCCTGTCTGAAGCACAGGCGGGTATAAGTCCATCCTGTAACAGTACTGAAGCTGAAGTTAATGTCTCCTTCTCTGCAACAGCCAGATACTCACTTTCCAAGCCATGTTTTTCAGTCTCAGATTTCCCATGTTGCCTCTGATCATCTGCGCCACACTGTGCCAGGGCAGCCTTGACAGTTGGGGACTTAAAAGGAAGTCGAGGTATCTGACGGGTCATCCACCCCCGGACAGGATTTTCACAGGTTACCGGAGTGGTTCTCAATGCACATCTGTTTTTTTTGCTTTTTCTAGCTCCCCCCACAGCTTCTGCAACAGTGAATTCATGTTTTACTGAATACATCTACTTCCATGGGGGGGGTGCAGAAAATTCCCAAGTGACAAAGATTGCTGGAACTCGATCCCAGCAGACATTGGGTGAGAAGCAGGGTACACACTAGATAGATAGTCAGTCTATATTATGCATTTAATAAATCCTAATATAAATTCTCAGGTTTCAAGACTGACTGTGTGTTTTACATAACTACATTTTACATAACATCACAACTTTTATGTATTGTCTGCATTCAAAATTGACCGTGAACTATGGCTATATCCCCACTTTTTCCATGTCATCCCCCAGAAGTTTGCTGATATTTATTGAAAATCGGCTAACACTGGAACTCGAACCCACTTGCGCTTTTAGTCAAAATGTAGGCTTAACCCACGAAAAAGCTACAATGTCAAAGCTCTGCAAGCCACTGGAAAAATTACTTTGCAATGGTAAGAAGCACACGTTCACACAAGGCATGCGGACCAATACGCACGCATTAACACACAATAATTGTAGAGTTTCTCCGGGTTGTCAAAGGACACTGCATCTTATTTAACCAGATACCTTCTGCGAACGTGCAACCACGCCAGAACCCTTACTATTTTAGCCACTAAGCTAGGTTTACCCACACAAAAACAAGCTTCAGTGAATGGAGAGCTGCTAACTATAAGCATACAATACGTCTTACCACGAATTAAACATCAAAACAGGTCTAGCTTTCTCTTCTACGTGTCCGTCAAGACGAGTCAGTGCTTAACTAGAGTTTTTTTTTTTACTAAGTACACAATATTAAACCCACAAATGTGGCAACATGGACCCAATACATTGCACACAGGGAGTCGCATGAGAAATGCGTCACTAGGGTCTAGACCAATTAGATTCCACTTTCACAAAAAAAAGGACGAAAAGATTTTGGTATTGTTTTTCGTGTCATAGTCCTATAAAAAGAACTCTTGATGTGAAACAAGAGTCTCTAGATATTCTAAATATTTGAACTGTTTCCCTAATGATGTGAAAATTTGTCAAATAAAACCTCCAACAAGCAACAATACGCTCCATATTACTGCTATGTAACTAAAGCTCAGTTTAAATACTATAGCAGCGTGTGAAAATAAAAATATCGAATTTACTATTAATTAGTCAAGTTCCAGCTTTTATTTGAGCATTCCAGCAGTGATTCCGATGTATTTTTATCTATTCAAGATGTGCTACTCCTGTTTAGTATGAGTATGAAGAAATAGTTGATACAATTGCGAGAGTCTGGAAAAGCGCTTTAAACTGTTATAATTATTTTTATTATAATTTTATTATAATTATTATTATTACTGTTGTAACATAATGTATTCGAGGTTACTGTCCCATAAAATGTATCAGAAATTTAACCTGATTCTTCTTAATTACGATTGATTAAATTGGATACTTGAAAAACATTTTCAAGATTGAAGATTTTCACTTACTTTGTAAACTTTTTGGATAGCAAATACTCAGCACTTTAACCCAAGGAGTAAGATCTGAATTTTTACTCCAGTAATGAAACTGGGTACTTTGACAACCACTGCTTGATCCTATTGTTCAGGGTATTTCTAAATATACTTCCAAGAATTTAACATTTAACACACCACCTGAGACCTGTAGAGTCTGAGATGTAGCTCTTGGGGTGTTTTTTGTTTTCAACGAGCATTGCACAGTCTAATCTTTCTGTGGATGTTTCTCTTTAAACCTATAGATCATTGGGCTGTGACTTTGTCGAGATAATTTGTGATGTCTTCATTCCCCTTTTTCCTGTATTTACACGCACCTGAAAGCTCCAGTCAAGGTTCTCACACTTACAGATGATCAACTAATCAAGTTTATTTTATTTGCAGCATGCACCTGCTCTTTACCTTCCTAAGTCCTTGCAAATATAGGACTTTGATATCTGCAGAACAACACAGCCCTAATGACTAAAGTCACCCATTACATATTTAAAAAATGAACCTAATTTGTCTTAGTGTGTCACTCAGTTTTTAAGGCATAAAACACAACAGTATATAATGTTATAAGAATCAAATTATTGAGGAGGGTTCGGAAAAAAATGTTTGTTTGAGTGTAAGAGTTGTGCTTGTGAGTTTCTAAGCTTGCTCTTATCTTAAACATAAGATTCTTTTAATTTAGACACCCATGTGTTTCTCTGTTTGGAGCCTGGTCCTGACCCGGGTTGACACTGGAATATTGTGCAGGTGGTCATATACAAAACAAGCATGTTGGCAGCAGCAGTGAGTATCACTGTCCCTCAAATATGACCCCCAAAGACAAACATCCTCTTTTCTGAAGAGTCACTGAGTAAGTCCCCGAATCCCTGCCGGCACTGAGGCCCCAGCTTTGTAGGGCTCCACTCCGCCTGACCTCTGTGAGGTGAGACAGCTGGTTGCACAACAGGAGGCCTCGAACACCACAGTTTGTTAAAACGTGTCAGATTTAAAAGGAGATTGAGCAGAATGAGTCACAAAAGTAAAAAATGTTGAAGGCACTTGCAGACATTTCGTGTAAAAAAATGTTTTTTTAAATTCTATGTACACGAAGAAGATACTAGACCTTGTTTTCATTTGTTTTGGCTGTGCTTCTATTCCAGAGTGCAACCCACATGTGACGCAGGAATCAGGAGGGGGGGATTTTTGTGTTTAACTTGGCTTTGGTTTCATGTTTAAAGTCCAGGATAAATACACCTCTGGTTTGAGCAGTTCTGCCTCTTCTTCTGACCATTAGCCCATCGACTGCTCCGGGACTGTGTTGCGCCTCATACAAGAATGAACCTCCTCAGCATAACTGTGGCTGTGGGATTGGTGGCTGGGATATGGGCTCAGCTGAACGAGCTGCGCCCTCCCTGCGACTCCCCTGAAGTAGAGGAGGCTGCCTTGGTGGCTCGAGATTTCCTCAATGCCCGGCACACTCATTTCTACAAGTATGAACTGAACAGGATTGAAGAAATCAAGGTCTTCCCTGCGGTAAGTCAGCAAGTGAACAATTCAGTAATAGCGAGCTTGCTTTCTCATATGGGCTATAGCTCTTTTTTTTTTTTTTTTTTAAGCGTGAATTTGTACAGGTGGTATTGATTACTAATATATTTCAATTTCTAGCCATGCGACTCATTCAAGAAATTGCACAAGAAAACGGGGCAAATTAAAGGAGGAAACATTTTGGGTTTTTTTACTCTGTTTTTTAACTCGAGTAATATGTCATTTTACCCCTTAAGCCGGATGGAAACAACACATATGTCCTGGACATTGAGTTGCTGGAGACAGACTGCCACGTTTTAGACCCCACTCCTGTTGCAAACTGCACGGTCAGGCCCAAAATGTTGACGGTGAGCATCCCGTACACAACGGCCACAGGAGACCAACTTCCAGTGCTCTGTTTGACCGATGCATTCTCACCATGTAGGCAATAGAAGGAGATTGTGACGTGGTGTTGAAGAGGGTTGCTGGTGTGCTGACCGTCGATGCATTTCAGTGCAAAACAGAAGGTAAGTAGAGAGCAAGCCCGCTTCTAATCTCACGGGTTCACAGAAATGTGACGTACAAAAACCTGTGCGTGTGTTTTCTCGGATGACAGAGTCAAGAGAAGACCACTGCCTTGGCTGTTCCACCCTGCTTCCTCTGAATCACACATCGGCGCTGGAGTTTGTCCAAGCATCTTTGACCAAGCTCAACAACAGGACGGAAAATATAACGTACACCGTTCTGGAAGTCGGAAGGATGTCCTCAAAGGTGGGCCGATGTGTCCCGGGATAGATTGTTACGAGATGTCAAAACTAGTACTTTAGCATCGATTCGTTGCAATGCCGTTGTGCAGATTGTGGCTGGTGGGCCAATGTATGCGGCCGAGTACGTCGTCATCGAGGCCAACTGCATCAATGACACCTGCGTGCCACTCAATGACACCATGGCTGTAAGTATTGAACAAAAAACTAAACAAAAACAACATGCGTGCGCATATCTTGGACACGCAGTAGGCCATGCTCGCATTTCAGTAGCTGCTGGTGAACACAGGGTGTGCTTTTCTCAACAGGCACGTGGAATGTGCACCGCAGAAGGCTTGGACATCGATCCAACTGTGGACTGCAAAATGTTTTCAACTTTGGTAAACTCATTAACTGGTTGCCATTTTAAACAATGAAAACAATATATATATATATAGATATATATATGTATTTTTTGTTCTTTGTATTTTACAGATCCCCCTCTTAGATGCCAACATCACAGGAGTTGCAGAGCCCGCGTTGCCACCACTAGTTCACGTTCACCTGGGCAGTCTGTCGCCCAAGCATGGTCTGAGACACCACAAACTGACTGCTCTTCACGATCCCCTGCTGAGCGGCCTTCTGTCTGCGGAATCGGCAGAGTCAGCAGAAGTTGTGCCCGTCGCCCCTGCTTTGACGGTCACTGCCGCGCCCGTTGATCCCGCGCCAACTGCGGCAGATTCTTCGGCTTCCGATGCCTCAAGCAGCATGGAGGTTCCCCTGACCCTGGTGAAGAGAGATGCACCAGCCCCATTAGTGGCCGAAGCCCCAGCAGCTCAAGCTGATCCCGTGTCTTTTGTACAATTGTGCCCGGGAAGGATCAGATTCTTCTGAAGACTGGAGCCAAAAAGACTTTTCTTCACCTCTTCTGCTGCACAAGCCATATAGTAACCGATACAATGAGTATGTGCTTTGGTAGATGCAACTGCAATACTTTCTAAAAAGAAATGTTAGCTTGAAATTGTCAAATCACATGCACTGTTAGACATATCTTCAAATGACTAGAAAATGGATGACAAAGAATCTAAAGCTGGTGAATAAATGTCAAGTCATCTCTTGTTTACTTTGCGCTTTCATATATAAAAAAACAAAAAAAACACTGGGGTTAATGAGGCCGTTCGATCTTGTGTGAACCATCTAAACAGGGGCATAGTATCATTGGACGGTTATTGACTCCAGTGAACCCACTGACATTGATACACGAGTCTGGCAGAGGGCTAAATCTCTGCTATACACCTAAACATCTAAAGGTCAGTCAACTTTACAGAACTGACAGTATTTACAAAGTGCTTTTAGAGTATACAACAATGAGCTCAAAAGGATTCACAAATCAATGAAGAAAAAAAAATAAATAAAAAAATAGTTGATGCCGACACCAAGTATAAATTACATTAGAAAATGCAAGAAAATACAGCCACAAAACCCATGAAATACAGTTTGTCTGAACAGTTTATTCATGAAGTTTTCACCCTTTATTTCCATGTTCCATCTGGACAGGTTTATTCTTTCCTGCAAAGAAAAAAAAAAGATTACATTAACTAAAAAAATGTTGTTTTTGTTTTTTTAACCACATTCAATCATTACCCTACCTTTTGCTGGCTGGTCAGAGTGCCATTCTTGAAGCACCGTTCCTGGAATATGAAGAGGAAACTTTTGATTGGAGCCTGGGGGTGTCAAAGATTTCAAAAGGTCCTCAAAGGGCTTGTGAGTTTCAGGCTTTGAGTGCACGGCCCTGAAAGATTCTTCGGAGAACAACCGATGGGATTCATCTGGGGCAGTAGAAAATGAAGGCAAACTGGAATCATCAAGCCTATGCAAATAGTTGACATTACTTGGCAAGGGAACAGATATTCCTTCACCCAACCACGTGATCTGTTGGCCTTTTTCTTGTATGGACTCCAAATTCTGAGGATTAGTATGGTGGGGTCTTGCTAAATTCAAGGTCTCAGACTTTGCAGTTTGAGCCAGTTCACTCAGAGGGACTGGTGATTCTCTGTAACTGTTGTGATCCCTACCCGGCGGACCGTACTGTAGCAGGACATAACTTTGTGATTCAAGGTGAGAGCTCAGAGTCTGTCCATGCTCAGTTGAGTTCAAGCCAGCCTCAGATTCCTGAGAGTTGTTGGGGGCAACAGAATTGTTATCAGTGGGCTCTGGAGCATCCCGAGGCATGTAGTAAGGAGAGAAAAAATTAATCTGATGTTGATCGCCAAATTTTGCATTTAGTGCCTGACGTTCATTGTCTAAAGGTTTACTTTGCTGCTCTGTTGTATGACGAGGATACTGATTGGACTTTGAGCTTGGCCTGTATGGATTAATTCCACTGAATGGCTGGTTGACTGTTTGGGGGAACTGGATCTTAGATGGGTCATACTGTATGGCGGGCTTATGACCTGAAGCCCAAAGTTTAGATGGATCGGCATCAGCTGGAGATTTGCCTTGCTGGAACATTAGCAGATCATGATACTGTGGCTTATATAAAAAGTGGGGAAGGTGCATGTCCGTTTGAAAGTAAGGATTGACTGGCATTTGGAGATTTGCAGTATTGCTGGGACTACTTCCAGGTGGTGCAGCAGGGTTGCCATCTGGTGGTTGTTGTTGTGGATGCTTTTTATCTGCCACTGGAGGGAGCTGAGGTGACGTAGGTACAGAGGTGCGGGATGTCACAGCTTGCAATGTTCCTTCTGTGGGCTTTCGGGAGAGGGAGGCTGGTTGCATGCCATTTCCAAAGTTATTATACATAATAGAAGAGTCAAATGGCAGACCAGTGTGAAACTCGAATTCTTTACCATCAAACCCAGCAGGAACAATATGGAGATGTTGATGAAAAGATATTTGTAGACAACAGTTACCAAATCCAGAGGGACAAATTTGAGGGCAATACAGAGATGACATTTGTGGAGAACTGGCCTGTGGGACTTTAGAAGGAATACCAACATTACCCATTTGTAGATTAGGAGGGCCTGGGTGTTTCTGGTTTTTGGCAGGAGTAGAGACCGGTGGATGCCCAGTAGAAGCAGGGATAGGTGGGAAGTAGGGGGGCTGCTGAGAGTAGGAGAAAACGTTAGAGGGGTTCGTCTGGAAAGGCTTGACATTATGAGACTGAAAACTTTGCCCTGGATTTTTTAACCGAGTTCCATATTCTTTTTTAGGACCCTGTGTCATGTACGGGTAACAAGGTCCATATGCTTGTCCCTGAATATTTTCACCTGCTGTGGGGTGGTTTGCCATAAGTTGTGAATACAGACACATTTCCTGGTGAAACTGGTCCAGATGAGCTGGAGTCTGCACTAACTGAGGAGCAGAGCTTGCAGGTGTTTGCATTCCTGGCTTTGGCTGGGGATGGGATGGTTTTTGAGGAATCTCAGGCTGCGATGGCTGAGGAACACCAGGGGGTTTCGTACCTGGCTGTGGTTTAGGGAATGTGTGATACGTGTGGAACATATGGTACAACTGGCCTAGAGCGGACTGAGGCAGCCGTTGCTGAGGATCGGCGGTAGGCTTTGATGGATGTTGAGGTCCAGGATTTTGAGGATGAGGGAGAGGCTGCTGTGCTGGCCTTAAATGTGTTCCAGGCTCTGATGGCCAAGACGGTTTTGGTCTGTTGAAGAATGGGATAAATGGCTGGTATTCTTGGACCCGAGGAATCCCAGGGTTCAGCGGCAAAGAAACGGTAGGTTTTGGTGTTGGATTTGGTCTATTGTAGAATGGGTTCAGAGGCTTAGGCGTTTCTGGTTTTGATGGCCGAGGGTCACTTGCAGGTTTTGGGGTTGGCTTTGGATGGCTGTAGAATGGGTAGAAAAGCTGATGTCCTTGGCCCTGAGGGACTCCAGGCCATGGTGTCTGAGAGGTGACAGTGGGATTTTGAGATGAATGCTGTGTGGAGAATGGCTGATGTACTTGGGTCTGAGGTAATCCAGGTTTTGATGGCTGAGAAACACCAGGGGGTTTTGAGCCCATGTGCTGCTGGGTATAGAAGAGGTAGAATGGTTGGTATAAATCACCATGTGGATTCTCAGAAAAGGCAGGATGCAATAAATCTGGGTTCTCCGGTAATCTGTCAAAACACAACGGATGAACATTGTGACCATGAGATGCTGGAGGTTGCATGCAATACAGAAACGGTTGAAGAGGCCTCTGTTCTTGATCCTTAGGTTGGTTTGCAGATGGTTTCTGAGGAAGCCCTGGTGGACGATTGGAAGGATTTTGATGGAAATGCTGATCTTTACCTGCTGGGAACTTGGTGAATGGTGATTGGCTAGGGAGGGGCCCAGGAAGATATGACAAAGAATGAAACCGATTCAAGCCTTGCTCATTTTTGCCTGTAGGTTTGCCACCTGGAGATGCAGTGGTAGGACTCATTGGCTTAACCGTAGGCAGACTGTCTGGATTTGTATGGTGAGGGTAAAGGTAATTTGGGAAGAAAGGAGAATAAGGAAATCTAGAATAACCAGTTTCCTTGGGAACCTGACTCTGTCTGTTGGGAATCTGTGGGTACTTGGGAAACTCAGGAACCTGATGAGCACTTTGTTTTGTAGGATGGACTGAAGTAGCATCTGAGGTAGTGGAATACAACCCCTTTCTTGGCATTTCCATTTGCTGTTGATAACCCTTGGTAACTTCACTTTGAGCCAATAAAAGCAGTGGGCATGAAACTTTTGTTTGCCCTTCCATAGCTAGTTCCAGAGTGTACAGTCCGTCCTGTCAATAAGAGACTACATTAGAAAAACTTTTCTTTCAAGCAGAGTAGTTGGAATTGACAAATCTATACCTTCTTTTGCAGGCATGGTGTATAGTGTACAGAGATTACCACGCCTTCAGGATGTTCCACTACACCAAAGATGCATCTCTGTGAGGCCTTTAGTAATGGCTCCCAATTTCCATTCACTGCCAATGTCATTGGGATTGATTATTGCCACTCATTCGAAAATTAACCCCTGAATCAGGGAGAAAAAACAAAACAAAAAAAGGGAAAAACTCACCTTTAACTTTGATCTTAGAGGCAGAATTTGTCCCGTCTATTTTCACAACCATGCCCCCAGCATGGCAAGTGACCATTGGTGGGTTTGGTGATGGGTGGGTTATCATTGGACATGACATCCTCACTGGAAGTCCCCACCAAAGCAATGGGAGCACATAGTTGTTCTCCTAAAGTTACCACGAACATAGTGAGAAAACATTGTGTATAGAAGCATTTGGATGTGTAGTGCTTTTAGAACAACGTTAACCCACCTCAAGTATGACAAAGCAGCCATCATAAGGTGCAATTAAGAGGAGATCTGTACGAGTTGATCTGATGGTGTAACCACAGCTTGAAGGCAACTTGGACATAGACAGGGGAGACAACTGAACTCCTGGAAAAAACAAAACAAAAAAAAACATTTCAATTTAAACAAAACTTCTCTTTTTTAAAATGTACATGAATCTACTATGAGCATTAACATTTCTTTTTTTTTTTAAGTAAAGTTTGGTACACACAGAAGTATATGGGGTATGGAACACTCACCCCTGTCCACAAAGAGGAGAGAGTCAGGAGGGGAAGTTGCTCCTTGAACAAGCAGTTTCATTGAATCTCCTGTGCATTCAACCCGTGGATCCATTTCAAGAACATGTTGTGTTGCTGCAACGCCTGGTTCCTGCTTGCCACCTTGTCCACTCAGTTCCTTGCTCTGCCACCAGCCTTCATTAAAAATGGGGCATTACATGTATTTCAATGAGTAGATATGGCATATTCCAAAAAGGGACTGATAATAATGCACACAGAATTAACCATCCATGATGCACATGAGGCCGATTGTAGGCATATTACTTTCAGTCATACACACCCATATCTGCTTGGTAATCTGTTTCAATATTAAACATGTTTGTAGTATTGGTTCCATTGAGATTGGCATCTTGCTGCAAGTTTTGCCCAATCAAGAGTCTTCCATGATGCTGATGACTTTCCTTAGCTTGACTTTGAATATGCATCGAGCTCTCTTTTAAATTATCCAAAGCCTTCAATCTGGTTGGTTTTGTACAGTGGCAAAGTGATGTCACAAACACTAAAAGTCCAATACACAGTAAAACTACACCGCCCCTGCTCTCTCTACACGCCATTAGAGAAAAGAAAATGCACTGCACAGAGGCGAGTAGCCTTAGCAAAGTCCCACAAAAGCTGAAAGTGGTTCCTAGTGTAGGATTAAACCTGAGTCTCCTCACTCTTGTCATAATTATGGCTAATGAGGCACCTGAGTGCAGCAGGTGCTGTAAATTGTGCTGTCGAGGAGAGGCTGAAAAACATCCTTTGCCTCTGTTACCCACACTGGCCTAGGGAGAGGTTGAATTTTACAGTTGATATCCTTAAACATGTCTTCAATTTCAGATGTGTTTCTGAAAGGGTTTTTTACGTGAGGCCGAAAATTTATTTCATCCTGTTCCGGCATAAAACTCCAGATCCAAATATGCTGTCAGCCTTTTATGGTTCATAATGCAGTCTTATAACAGCACTAAATGAATGCGTGGACATGGTGTCACCTTTTGGCTTTTTCCCATTAGGGGTTGTCTCAATACATCAGGATTTAATTGCATGGTAGGTTTTTGACACCATATGCGACCCTCACATATATCCAGGCCTGGGAGCACCCTGTTGCATTGCAGGTACTTAAGAAATTAATATCTTGCCTAAAAACATGTCGACTGGGAACGGGCCACAAACCCAAACATTTAAAGGCAGCTGTTCTTACGCCTGAGTGACAGCCGCATGGACGTGTATAAGTTTAAGGAGGTGTCAAAGATAAGCAAGGAACTGATGAACAACTAGTAAAAGACAATGTTAATGCTCTAAACATCACCTCTTATTTTAGCTGGCATATAAGGTTTTAAAAGATGACGAATACAACTGAAGGTGCAGGTGTGCCAAAGGTGATGCACATCACATCTAATATCTACTTGTTTATTCCGTCAGATATTTAACTAGCTAATACATTTGGTCGACATAATCACATCTTTACCTTTACTGACTCACAGCCTTGCTTTAAAAATACATTTTGCATTCAATTGTATTCAATACTTAGTTTAAAAAAAAAAAAAGTACTTCACTGTTGGGATGCAAATATCCCCCTCCTCCCCCCCATTTCACTTAGGAAGTTAAACTTTCAACAATATGTGCAGAACCCCATCTGGGACATGATGCTTATCCTCATGAATTTGTTTGGAATTCATGAAGGTTTGGGAATTTAAACATGTGTATAATTTGCTTCTGGTATTAAGAAACATATTAAAAATGTGCATGTTGAGAGCAATAACTCATGGGCTGTAATGGCTTGAAAAGTTAATTCAGCTCCTTTGTATCATTTTTCATTTATTGGATACAAACCTGAATTGGCAAGACCACAGAAAAGACATATCACACATCACTTCTGGTTGGAATAACTTTTATTTGATCCATCTGTAAACAAGTCATCTCAATTCATGGCATTTGAAATAGATTGTGTGGCAGAGATTTCCAACTCAAAAAGATGACAAAATATTTGTTGCATTTTTTTTTCCTTCTTTCACCGGTTTAATTCTATACATAATCCGTAAAGTCTGGAGATTACAGATGCCAAAGTATCCCTTAGGAAAAGTGCCATTAAAAGTCATTTCTTGCTGGGACAGCAGATAAAAATCCAACTAACAGATGAGACATTGGTTTTTTATGGCACAATACAGTTATTCTCAACATTTTCACAATTTACAAATGTTCTTATTCCAACCAACACCATTTTAAATACGTTTAGTGTACACAGCACTTGTTTTCTTTAATATACTAAAGTACCATACTATGACAATCTGAATACATCTTTGATGACTAAAGCACAAGGCAAGAAATCCCAAGATGTTAGAGCCAAGCAGCTTTAGTTTACAGTCTAAATGTATTCATACTGTAATAAAATGACATTGCCATTTCACTGGTTAATGAACATGGAGTTAGCAACAAATTAGTGAAGACAAGTTTAGTGTTGAAGTCTACAGAAGCAGTAACACGGTTTTACAGTCACCTGAAGTTTTTTTTTTTTCTTTTTCTAAATCAGCAACTTGTAGTGAAATCATTCAGCTGAAGTAACCAATAACCCTCTTCTACTGAAAATTGGTCCAAATGGGAGGGGTAACCTCACAATTGTGTAGTGATTTACAGCTAAATTTACAGGTAGCAAAAAGATGACCGACATATCTCAGCTGTCAGGGGTGGAATGTCCATAGACTCCAAGATATGATGATGATGTTTGACAGTCTCGGTGATGCTGACAGTACGTTACACTCACAACAGCCCAACACCACATCATTAACTCATGACCACATTCAGGTACAACAGCAACATTTTGGAGAGGCTAAAGGAAATTGTGCCCATGAGTGTCCAATGACTTCACACATACAGGACTTTGTTGTTCCTTTGATGGGTAATGGATGCAGATGAGAAGATGGTTTTGGCTGGAATAAAAAGGGGGAGGGACTAGTGGAACAGGCCTGGGATTAGTATGGTTAACAGTTGCGAGCATGCAACCTTTTTAGTCTGCACATGCTGATTTTAAAGGAGAAAAAAAACAAGAAAACCCAACACAAAGTAATTTTCAAAGTAATGCTCAAAGAGGATCTACCTATGTCGGTCACCACCAATACATGGGCTCATCTTGGAATATAAACCGCCTGTTGATCTTACAGAATGTGGTAAACTGAACTACTAATCAGTTTTTGGTTTTATCCAACGTCCCATAACTGGTGTGCCAAAAGCATGACAAGTACTATGTTTAAGAGGAAGATGTGTGTGTGTGTAGGGGGGGTGTTGGAGAAAAAAAGGGTGAAGTGAGTTAAGCGAACAGGACGCTGGGTATTAAAGCCAACATGCCACCTAATCCTGGAAGTAGGGTCAACACAATACGGTGAGTGGGAGCGAGCTGCTGAGTTGACAAATGGGTGGCGAGGTTGTTAAAAATCCAAACATTTCTCAGGTGCACATCCAGTGTATGTGCCATTTAGTTAATTTCCTTCAGACACCACCTCTTTCCCCCCCATGACTGAGACCAAGACACACACAAAAAAAAGAAAACAAAGAGGAAAAAAAAAAACAGGAAAAAAAAAAAGAAACTAAGGAGCCTCCCCCCTGCAGGATGAAGGGGGAACAAAAGGTGACACAGTATCTTACCACTCTTCATTGCTATTAAAAGTTTCCATGACAGTTGACTGCTTGAAGGGGAAATCTTAACAGCAATATGCTTCTCTTCTTTTTTGTCCCTCAAATTGGATGCAAGCAAGCTTGAAAATATTAAAATCCCGAATCCCTCAAGTATTTTGCCATAAAGTACGCTTTCTTATTTAATCCACCACCATGGACCCCTTCCTTGCCCATCACAAGAACCAACACTGAGAGAGAAGAGATAGAAAAAAGAAAAAAGCACCGGTAAGCAAAGCAAAAGTCAAAGGGAAGGCGTGCTAAGCAGGAAATTTTAAAAGTTAAGTCAACAAAATTGCCAAACTGACACAGTAGTCTCCACATATTTCCTCTGACACCTTAGACTCAAAAACATTCTAATTGACAATGTTGCACTTCATTACATGTCAATAGGCCTGCCAGGAAGTCCAGTGCTTGCACTGTTAAGTGAGAACTAAGTCTAAAATTTATCAGCTACAAGCAATAATTTGACAGTCAATTAGTTTAAGTCTTAGGTGCCAGAGTCAAGCAAATCCACAACCTGTATGAAATAGAAAAGGCATATTATTAACCAAGGATAAGAAAGGTAAAAAAATAGCCTGCACAAAAAAGATACACCTGCAGTACTTGCAGAGGAGCAATCATCTTTGATTTTGACCTGAAATCTTATGTGGTTCCATTTGCACGCCCTTTGACTTCTTCTTAGATGCATATGATTGTTTATAGTTATAAAACATAAAAGCCATTATGACAGCCCTCATTACAGAACTGAGAATGCTGGCTTTTTTTTTTTAACCTGTTTGTAGACTATGGAACCCAAGAGTTTATGGACAATTCTATAATGGAATAATTGCCAGTTGTGAACTACCTTTTAACATTCCCCAATGACTGTCATGTGCATGTAACAAGACACATCTGTTGCTTCATACAAGCTTCTTTCTCATGAATCACAAACAAGTTTAGATTCTAAATTAGAAGAGTAGAAAAAGGGAAAATTTAGATCAAATCTGATGCGTCAGACTTTTACCTTTTCCAGCTTTCCCCACAGAAACATTGTAAGTTGGTTCCCCTCCTTGGCTCTTGGTCCTGATATCCATTGTCCAGTCCCCTTCAACATCGAGGCTGTCTCTAAGGACAGAACACTTCTTTGAGCCTAGTGTGAGACCGCTGGTGTAAAAGGCCTCCCTGTCCTTACCAATGAGGATATCTATTTCCTGAGCCTGAAAGAAAGAAAGCACAGAAACCACAGGATTTATGCCATGTCAGAAGTTTGGAGCCACCCAGTTAAATTGCACGGCGTTGGGCAAATCAAATATATAAAGGCAAGCCAATCTGAGGTATTAATAACAGCTAGTGAGCCTTCCCCGCTGCGAGTAACGGAAGTAAATGCGACGTCTTTGCACCCTACAGGCTCCCATACCAAGCCAATCAATGGATTAAAAAGAGAAAATGTATCTACACAATAGAAATGGATCTGTATGAATTTAAAACAGGCCGCCGATATTGAAAATAAGAAAGCCTTACTCAAAGCTGAATAAAGTCTGTTAGAGCACGTATTCTGAACCACTGGCAGCCGGTGGAGCTCCAGCTTAACGTTAGCTGTTGAAGCCGCTGTGCACACAAAGCATGCACGCTCTCCTGTCAGTCCACTTGGCTTTTAATTAGCACGGCTAATGCTGTGGCAGAATTTTCACATTTCGTGATAGTTGCCCGCTTGTGTGGGGTGCTGTAGACCGTGCAAACTCCAATAACCGAAGCATTATCAACAAGATGGCTAATCCCAAAACCTTCCCTCAGCAGGAAAACGGCAACACAGGCCACCAACCATTACGCTAGTTAGCACACTAAGCTAGCGCCGTATCATTAGCATGCTAGTCTTTCAGACCCGGCGAGGTGTGAGCGCTGTACTGTCTGCTAAGTGTCCGCGTGGGAGATGCATAACATGTGCCGACCACCACCGTTTTCATTCAGAGCGTCTCTTTTTTTATTTCTAACTTACCGTGATATTGTTGAAAGTACCTCCGGCATGCGCTGCCCAAACGTATTTGGCGTCCACATACCCAACAATGGCGCTATCCTGACAGCTGCCATCGGCCATCAGGTTTTCCACGTAGCTTGTCCAAGACATACTCAAGAAAATTGATGATTTAGAAAAAGATCTTTTAAACTAAAGCTCTGGGGAGGGTGGCTGTGCCAGAAAAGATAGAGCCAGGACAGGGGGGAAAAAGACGACAAAGTAACTGGGAATCTCCAATCTAACCCACACTCCGATGTTAACCGACGCGAAGGCTGGGGCAGCAAAGACAGCCAGCGCAGTGAGGCGGCGGCTGGGTGTAGTCCGTATCAGATCACTCCGCACAATGAGATCCCCGGCGCTTTTATGCGAGCACGCGGGAATAAAGAGGGACTTATCAGCTCAAACTAGCCAAGTGTCAGGGAATGGCGGGTTTGCATTTTAAGGCGAGAACAGATGCGCATGTTTATTTTGCTCCCGACGCCAAATTTCGTTGTTGGTTTTTATGTTGGATTTTTTATGCAGACACGATGAGGCTTTCATCAACCAGACGCCAGGCAGAAAATGAGGACAGAAAACATCAGTCCCTGAGGTTCAGGTGTCTGGATTTGAAACTTACTGTCTGCCCCATTGTTGGAAAATTGTTACCTACAATATATGAACAAAAAGCCAAAACCTGCTGAAAGATCCTCTGTGTGATGGTTGCTAAGCCCATGGCCACTCCGATATGTTAATATCTTTGTGATATTGTGGGGGGAAATAACTGTCTCTCCATTCATAATTTTCTATAATCCTGTATTCCTATTTAGAGATGTCTTCGGCTTGTCTGTCAAATGACTGGTGGGACAGGGTTGGGAGGCCATCACAGGGCCACACGGAAACAAATCACTCAATCACTCCCTGGGTAAATTTAAAGGAAACAATCAATCTGACAGGTTTTATTAAATCTTGCAGGAAGCTGTAGTTGCTGGAGTGAACTCACATATAAACGGGGATAACATACAGACTCCACACAGAAAGGCTCCAGTTAGGTTACAAAACCAGGAACCACCTGGTTATGGGGAAAATGGCACTAACCACCACACCCCAGTGCAACACAGAACAAAATATGAATGTTATTTACATTTTTTATTTTAAGCATCAATAGGAGGATCACCTCAAATTCTGGACCAGACCACTCTGGTCGGTTGGAGTTTGGCTCTTACTTTGTTATGGATTACCAACAGTTATTCTTTGTCACACATTCTGATTCCAGCTTTTAAAGATGGAATTTCTAAGTGCCACCAAAAGTCCTGGTTCTCCACTCAGTTTAGGACTGCACTCCTAATTCTCCTTGATAATTTAGCCATCTTGGCTAAATTCACAAAGATTTGCAGCTACTTATAATTTAACTAAGTCCATGAAGAAGATGTCTAAGAAATGGATTCAAGGATATACAATACCTCAATTATTCTTTCAATAGCATGAGCAGTGCCCACTTTTTAAACGAGGTAAGAAATCTATCGGCCAATCTGAAAAAACTTTGATTTTGGCCTTGGAAAAACACCACAATATGAAATTTCTTACGAATTTTACAACAGACCACAAGTCACAGTAGATTTGATATATGAAAAAGGCCCGGTGAACAAATAGCATTTCTCAGCCTTGAGGGAAACAAATTCATAATTTACCAGGACCGTTTCAGATAGGTTAGTGCAAATATTATTGGTTAGTCAAGTTAGTTGTTCAAATCAAAGACATTGATACATGCTGAAGATCCATCCATCCATCATCGTTACCGCTTATTCCCTAATGGGGTCGCGGGGGGAACTGGAGCCTATCCCAGTAGGTAATGAGCGAGAGGCGGGGTCACCCTGGACAGTCCGCCAGTCCATCGCAAGGCCACACAGAGAAACACAAGGACAAACTACCAAGCACACTCACTCCTATGGGCAATTTGGAATGTCCATTCAACCTAACATGCAGGTTTTGGGACGGTGGGAAGAAGCCGGAGAACCCGGAGAGAACCCACGCAGACACAGGGAGAACATGCAGACTCCACACAGAAAGGTCCTTGTTTCCCCGGGGATTCAAACCCAGAACCCTCTTGCTGTGAGGGGTGCCGCCCCATGCTGAAGATTTTAGGAATAATTTACATGAACTAAAAATAGGGAAAGAAATTTAACAGGGAAATATTTACTCTTTGGCCACGAGGGGCAGTATCCTCCACAATTTCTGAATGTCCATGGCTGGTTTAAAGAGTGAAAGAAGAGTTGTGAGGAAAACATGTTTCCTAATCCCCTCTTCTTAAATGAACTATAGTATTGTAGGTTTTACTTGTAACATAACACTTTCCCATATCCTGTTTACAAAGCGTTTGTGTACCTCCCAACTTTGTTTAAAATAACTTACAGTTGTAAAATCTGACACAAAGTTTAAGCTTACTTAAATGTAATAGTTACAAAATGATCTTAAATTATCTTAAAGACCTGTCAAAACATTTACTTTCCATTACTTCAGTGTATTATCCACTTATCATTGCACGTAATCAAATATTGTTACATACATGTAATACACGTTATGATTTAATGATCAAATGTAATATTTGATAAGTTATGCGTTTCTTCAGTGTAATACTAAAAGTTGTTGAACTATTATTGTTTGATTATGTTTTATGTTCTGATTATACATAAATTATTACAAAATATAAAAATTACTATAAAATGGAAAAAGACAGTGGGTTGATGCCTTCAAGTGCAACATTGTATAGTCGATCTATTGTTTCTCATGCATTACAATGTAGTGTCAAACAGCAATTGGAAATTATAAGCATCAATTATTCACACAGCCTGCACAAGCTCATTATAAATTCCGTTTCAGCTCATGTCCCCATGACACTTGTTTTTTTGGGACGTGTGTCTGAGTTATATGTCAATTTTGCGTCGGGGTTGTTTCCCAGAGAGTTTAAACCAAATTTTAGAAGAAAGGAATTCAATGCATGATCCATCCACCATCTCATTATGTTTTATATCGTTTAGTTGTTTTTATTTATTTATTTATTTTGATAAGAATAACGAAGATTCTATCTCCAGTAATCAGATCTGTCAAATGACTGGCCCTTGCTTTGTCACAAACGCTCTCGAGCAAGTTTTTACGAGGACGTCAGGCGCGTGGACCTTTCCTATTTTTTTCCGACGGTTCCTGAAAGTAGCACCAAAAGGAATTCACCAACCACCCGTACGTAAACACTTCTGCGCTCACTACCTACCCAGAATGCAGCGCGGCTGCACACAACATAGCCATCTTGTCAAGAGTGACTGAGAGAGGGTGGTAGCTGTAGGTACTGTTAAGACTATCATTTTTTTCCCCTTTAAAGCCTGAAATTTTGCTTCATCTTTCTTCCTTGACCACAGGAGGCTCGAAAGTAAGTCTCGCTCACGGACGACTTGAAGCTGGTTACGTGCGAGGACATTCGGGACAGCTTTTGGGAAGATGTCTTACATACTTGTACCGACGTAGGGGGAGTGTGAGGCAGCCAGTTGGTTTGAATTGTTAGCTTGCGCGGAGGGTGAAGGGCTGCGGGCCCTCCTCAGCGTAAAGTAGCTCCCAGAGCCGGGTCGCACACGGCTAAAACGGCCGGTCGACAACTGGACAACCGGGATAAAAGTGGGCCGAACCGGACTGACTGGGAAGCTCCGTATCAGTCGCCATACAGGCGACTTATATCAGCGTCTAGAGCCTTATTGCTCGATAAGACGACACAAACTGTGGTGTTGCGCTGTGAACTGCTCATGAAACGCAACAGGAGACCGAGAGAAGAAGAGGATGGCGCAGATTCATCTTGATTACAGCTAAGTAGGCTAATAAAAATAGATGCAAGTGCGCCGTTTAATATGATTATAAGCTTTTTTAGAAAGCTCTAACCCGCTCGTCTGCGTTTGACGGAAGACAAATATAGCCATACGGGAGACCTGGAATCAGACTGTCAATATGTCGAAAATGCCGGCCAAGAAAAAGAGCTGTTTTCAGATCACAAGTGTGACTCAGGCCCAAGTGGCGGCCGTGGGTGCCGCCGACGACACCGAGAGTCTGGACGACCCGGACGAGTCGCGGACCGAAGACGTGTCGTCGGAGATCTACGACATGTCACGGGCCGAGCACGAGCCCGCTTGTGACAGGAGTTCGTCGGAGGAAGCCCTGAATAACGTCGGCGAGCCGGCGGAGGCGGGCGGTGTCACGCTGCCGTCCGGCGTACCTCCGGCCGGTCAGCTGCCCGCGCCGTTAGGCAACCCGGTCGGGGAATTACGAAAAGTGGGAGTGTCCGGCCCGAGCCAAAGTGGCCAGCAGCCGCCGGGGATTGGCGTCACATCTGGCTTACCCCCTGTCACTCAGCCCGGAGGAATACAGCCACAGCCTCCCCCCGTCGCGGCCAGCACGGGGCCTGCCGGTCTGTCCCTCAACGCCTCCCACCCGGCTGCACCGCCTGCCACCTCCACGGTGAGCTGCTCTTCACGTTTCAGGGTCATTAAACTTGATCACGGTACTGGAGAACCCTTTCGGCGAGGAAGGTGGACGTGTACAGAGTTTTACGAGAAAGACTCGGACGCCTCCCTATCTGGTAGGACTGTAGATAGCATAAGACACGCCAGTGTGACTCTGGACCCCGCTGCGGACAGAGACAGCGGGCTCGGGCTGACTGGAGGCTCGGTGGTTTCCCCGGCAACGCACTCCAGTCTGGGTTTGGGCTCCGCGGCGGAGGCCTCGCACTCCTCGGCCCGCGTGCACCCGGGGGAGACGCTACCGCAGCAGCAAATCCTCCAGCAGGGCTACGGCGGCGGGACCTCGGCCACGCACGGCTCTTTCTCCGGCGTCCAACCCACCGGCCCCGGCCCGGCCCCCTCGGCGGTCGGCGGCCCGCAGCCGCCCGCCGGGCAGAACGTGCTGCCTGTGGGGCAGAACGGCCTGCCTCAGCCGGGCGTCCACATGCAGAAGTCCCCCGTCATGCCCCCGTCGGCTCAGCCCGTGGCGTACCATCCTCAGCAGCAGGGTCCCGTGGGCCACCACCTGACCGGCCAGTCGTCTGGACCGATCCAGAGCCAGACTGAGTATTATCAGCAGCAGCAGCAGCAGTCTACGCCCATGCCGCCAGCCCATGCCACTGGCCAGTCCCTCCCCGGAGTGCCTCAAGCCGCTGGACAAGGCCCCGCCGCGGCCATGCCTCCAGCTCCCGGAGCGGCCTCTGTGCCGGGTCAGGGCGCGGACGCTCCCGGAGCAGGAGGGGGGGCCGCATCTGCGGGGCTGGCGGCTCCAGCTGTGTTGCAGCAACAGACTGTGGGGCTGGGGGGCACCGGAGGCTCCATTATGGTCGGCGGGTCCACGCTTCCGCAGCCGCCCGCGAGTCAGTATGCGGCCGCCGGACAGCCCCATCCCCTCGGCCACCCCGCGGCCTCTGGCGTGCAAACCGTGCCCGCCATCGCAGTGAGTTCCAGCGTGTCCACCAACGTGCCCGCTGCCGTGCCCACTGCTGTGCCCAGTGCCTCCAGTGCAGCCATGCCAAACGCCACAAGCTCCGGCTTGCCCCCGGGGCATATAAGCCACAGCAGGACTCCGGTGGCTTTGGGGATGCAGGGCCTCCCGATGACAGGATTTGGACTGATGGAGGGGATGCAGTCTCCGATCATCTCCGGCAGGGAGCTGGTGAAGCCCTTCATGCCTGAGAGCCTGCAGCTCACCACCCCAACTGTCAACAGCCTCTTCGGAATCCACATACCCGTCGACGGGGAGGAGGACAGGTAAAGGCGCCTCTGCATCTCTCTGAAATGTTTTCAATATTTTCACTGGTGGCCTGCACAGCCTCGTCATCGTTACTCTCTGACACCGTTTTAAGACTTTGCTGCCCTCTATAATGTGCAGCCTGGCAGGAAATTTTAATGGCCGAAATGTCTCCCCACAGGAACAAGTCTAAAAGAACTAAGGCACTGTTTGTTTGTTTTTTTCCCTTTAGCTTCAAGGGGGGTATGGGGATTGGGTGTGTGTAGGAGAAAGAGGGTAAAGGAGCACAGGAAGGAAATATATTTTTGTCTTCTTAAGGCCTAGAGGAGGAAGTTGAGCGCGGCTCACTGGAGGCGCCTGTGGCTTCCATAGCCAGGGCGCCTGCTTGTTAAACGCACACATGACTCGGGTATTACTGCGACTGTTTGTGTAAGGCACGGGGCTCGTGTTGCCGACCTGTTGCCCCCGCCCCCCTCCCCTCCCCACGGTGCGCGAGGTGACATCCTCTAAAGCAAACATCAAAAGCGTGCAAGGTGGTGGTGGTGGGGGGGGGAGCGCTCTCAGTGAACGAACCGCATGCCTGACCTTTTTAATAAGTTAGTTCCTGCCCTGGAAAGTGCTTTGTAAAATAAACACGAGGGGGTGGGGGGGCGTGGAGCGTCGTGATCCCACAGAAATGCGGCCCCTTCTCTCGGTAGTAGGTGGCACGCGGACGCGGAAACCGAGAGCTCTGGGTGTTTTTTTTCGCTCACAGAATGCAGAAGCAGCCAGGAACCGCTTCACATTCAGGCGGACTCTCAGTTCAGCTGGGTTTTCTGTAGCGTTTGAGTTTGGTCGCGAGGAGGGAGGTTTCGACATTTGTTTTCCCTTTAACTTGTGCCACTTTTCGCAGGCCTGATTATATGTTTGACCGAGATGAACGCGTTGAAGCCTCACCACTGTGAGTTCTATGTGAGGAAAAAAAAAACAGCTCAGTTATACTGAAATCAGGAGTACGATTTTTGTTTCGATCTGCCCCTTTTCCCCCACCCCAGTTTGATTTTAAACTGAGCCATGAAGCACAGAGCTGATGGCCAGCTGGTCCAGCTCCTATAGTCTCGGGGGGGGGGGGGGGGGTGTTTTGGAGTTAGTTGGCGACAGACACCGGAGCTAATGAGTAGAAGTCTTAACAATAAATACCGTGTTTGCTCCCATGTCTGTGAGGTCAGATATGTTTTAGGTGCGACTCTTGACGTCAAGCATACATTTTTAAACCGCAATGTCCCGTTGGGGATTCTTAGCCACCCGGCCGTCGACCCGCACATGGCAGCTCCAGACCTGGGTGATAAGCAGGTCGAGCCAGCAAGTTAAGTAATAACTAACAGAAACGTGGACCAGTTTTCATCTGGTCTAACATCGCCCCCCCCCCCCCGCCGCAGCTCCCCTACCGAGCTCTGGTGTTCCGTGTCTGATATCTTTCATAACTATGATACTAAGAGAGAGTTATGTCATAACTTTTCAAACTTTCAGTTTCAGCTTCACATACTGGCAACCCTCCTCGTCACATGTCATCTTTTTCTTTCTTTTTTTTTCTAACTGCGGTTATTCCACTTCGGTACCGGTTAATATTTTTAACGCCCCGGGCTTTATCTGGGTTTGTGACAATGCGGCCGTCCTCATGCTGCGCGTTTCTGTTTGCAGCTATGTTAACTCGCGAGGGGACCCAGCTCCCATGCTGATAAGGGCCAGGAGCTCTTTTGACAGCCCGCAGCCCTATCAGACACTGAGCAGTGGTCTTTCCACGGCGCCCCATTCTGCTGATAAGGGACCTGACAGTGGGGAGTGGGGTGTGTCGGCCGGCTTTGCCCGTTGTCATGTCGCTCCTTTCTTTGGCCACTCGGGCTCTGGCCGCGCTATTGTACGCGCGTCGGGGGTGACGTCCAAGGCCCGTAAGTCCCTCCCGTCTCCGCTGCAGCATCAGCACAGCCTCCGCTTTGTACTGGCTGCCCCGCTGGTTGAGTGACAGGAGAGGCGTGGCAGTCAGCGGCTTGCAGATGAAATGTTGAACAATGTGGTATGCTCAAACAAGGTGGAGGAAGCTGTAGGGTGACAGTCGCTTTTCCTCCCTTCTGAATGCATAGAAGCTACGGCCAACACATCTCAACCCTTCCCTCGCCTTTTTTCCTTTTTTTCCCCCCACTTTGTGAAAAGTGCCAGAGCCGCTGTGGCTCAGGAGGAAAAAGCAGTTGCCCACTGATTGGAGGGGTCAGTGGTTCAACTCCATGTTCCTCCAGGCCACATGTCGAAGAGTCCTTGGGCAAGGTTCTGAACCCCAAGTTGCCTACTGGTTGCCTCTGGTGTGCCCACTGGTGCAACCAGTGTCTGAACGTGTGCGTGAATGGTGAATGACACGTAGTGTGAAGCGCTTTGAGTAGTCAGCTTGACTAGAAAAGTTTATATAAGTACATTTACATTTGAATTTTTATCTGTACTGTTAGCCCTTTACCGCCCAACAAGACACACAACCAAAAACGCCACCTTCCACCCCCAACAAACTACCTGATAAAACATTATCTGTCCTCTGTGCAAAACAGAACAGCATTATAGCTCATTTTACTGAGCATTGATAGCTTGAAAGGACTTGTCTGAACATTTATTCATATCTCTCTTACTTTCAGCTCTTATCTACCAGTGACTAAATTGGAAATTCTTATTTCCAGAAAAAGTTGTACAAAAGGTCTAAAATAGGCTTTAAAAACTTTAACGTGCAGTTAAACTACTTTAACTATATTTGCTCTGAACCCAGCAAAGTGTTTTTCACAACAACATTGTTGAAGATTCTGCAATGAGAAGATGAGTTGGTGAGAGTGTCAGGACTGGCTATAAAAGTAGTTTTCACCACAGGTTTTGGTTTTTGACTCACCACTTTGTGCCAAACTCAAACTTTTAAAGTTTGGGTCTTTCAGCTTCTTTAGTGCTTTTGAAATAGTGAAAATATTCAAGGCAGTCGGGACAGTCTCGGGGGAATAAAAGCTAGAGTTCTGGGTTTGTTCGACCTTTGAGCCTTCAGGCTGCTGCGCAGGAGAAACTGTTACGTCGCGATCAGTTTAGCCCCATGGGCTCCGAGCTACCTGAGAAAACCTGAAACCGTATTGCACAAGGAGGAAGCCATATATAAACTCTGGCGTGCTACAGGATAAGGATGCGAGCTCATCTCAGACGGAAAGAGAAACGGTGGAGACGATTCTGTGGAATCGGAATCGTTTTAAGAAGTTAGTCCATTAAGCTCGTTTTACACGGTAGGAAGGTCAGATCCTAGTAAACCATAACTAGGACACCTCACTGCAGTCCAAAAAGCCAGTAAAACATGTATTTTTGCATTTTCATTTGGGGCTTGTACCTCCAAACCGTTGAAGTTTGAGTCATGCTATCGACTTCTTCCGCAGAGACAGCAGACATTCAATTAAATCATTTCTTGGATCGTTAATGCTGTAAATGCCTACAATGCGAGCCGACACTGGTCGAAAACAACAGGTTCATTCGGCATGTCGTCACCACAGTGGCCTCCGTTGTTGTTGCTGTCCTTGTGTTGAGTATTGACGACGTCACGGCCCCCTCTTTCTGCTCGGAAGTTTAAAAATGTATTTATTTTTTTTGCCCCTTGTTGTGTTTAGCATTATGGCAACAGAATTGTAATCCGAGTGCCGTGCTCTGCCCGACACTTTTGATTTGCCAAGGGAGGCAAGTTCGGACCCAAGTTTTAATGGAAAATCACCTAAACCGAGCCGCGGCAAAGCGGGTAGAGCCGAGTAGCCACGAGTGAGAGGGGCCCTATAAGAGGCGACCATTGAATCGTGAATCCTGGCCCAATCCCTTCAAAGAGACTGTTTCTGTGTAAATGAGCATAAAGTTAAGCAGCAACGCATTTTTCAAGAACTTTAGAGGCGAAGGAGAGATTTGTTCAGTCCGTAACCGGCAAGGTAATCGCAAACGGTCTGATTACAGCCTCTTTAAAAGACTGCGTTACAGGCCGAGTCCACAAAGACGGCCCGAGTCGGCTCAGTCAGATCCAACGTGGACATGTCAGAACACTAACTGGAATAGCCCAAGACGGAGCGTTCAGGTGGTTCTTAGTTGTGTGGTGATGGCATGGGGGATTAAAGTGACCGCTGATGAAAAGGAGCAGGGTCCCAGAATTCGTCCGTAAACGCGACACAGTCTGCGCGTATCTGTCTCTCCCATTGAAAACTTGTAGAGGCGTATACACCGGAGATTTGTAAAAACTAAAAACAGGTTTTCAGCTTGAACAGATGCAGATTCCTATGAAATCCTTTTTTTGTCTTTTTCTTAAACAGTTTGAAAGTTGGGTTAAAGGCAAGGTGATGTAACCCAGTAGTTAAATATTGACACCTTTAAAAAAAAAAAGACCCTTACTAGACCCTTTTTGTTTTTTGTTTTTTTGTTTTTTTTCTCTGGTTGTGAAATGATAGCGATGGATTGTCTTGTTTCCGGTGTCGTTGTGGAGTGGTCAGTTTCCTTTTTTTTTCTTTTTCCTTTTTTGTTTTGTTTTCTACACGGCATCATCCAATCTGTAAACCATGCGTAATTGGATGTTTTGGGTTATTGTCTTCACATAAAGAACTCTTACGTAAGCTTGGGCTCCTTCAGGGGGGACGGGAGGAGTCCAGGTCTGCGACGGAGTCTCTGCCACTGGACTGGACTGGAGGAAAAGGGGGTGTGTCTTCAAGGGAGGGCGTTTACTTCTGCTTATGTATGTGTGCACGTGTGTTGGTGGTGGTGGAGGGGGGGGGTCTGAGGAAAACAGCACGGTGTGGTAATAATGCTCGGACACATTCCCCACAGACAGAAAAAAGGGTTGTTAGAGTGCGCGATCACTCAGACAGTGTGCAGAACGGGGTCCCCCCCCCCCCCCTTTAGCGACCTCTCCTCTTAACTGCTGTATCCTGTTTTCAGTCTTTGTGTCCCTCACGCTGCTCTCCCCACCTTCTATTCAGCAGATATTCCTCAGCCAGCTTCCCCGCTTCCGCACCCGGGGGCTCTCCGCTCGTATCGCATGACATTCAGCGGGCACTTTTTTTCTATTTTAAAAAAAAACTTTTATCGGGATGTGCCTGGCCGAGGTGGAAGTCAACACATTCTTTTGCCCCCACGTGCGCGCTCAGATGTAATAAAAGACCCGAGTGTGGCCGGCCGTGCATACTGTTACGGGGCTTCTTCAATCATTTATATACATCCCAGGAGAGTAAACCGAATTTGTTTTGTTTTTTTTTGTTGTTGCCTCCTCCTCTTTGAATAGTCTCGTTGTAAACTAGTCGGGGTTTGTTCACCCCGCTGCGATCCCCACCCACCTGTCAGCCCCGGAGCCATTTCGAGAAGAAAGATAAATGGTTCTCGGTTTTGAGTGATCCCTCTCCTTTTGTGAATCCGTCAGCGCTGCGTCAGTCATCGGCCGGCGGGCAGGTGGAGAGGCCCCGCTCCGCCCTGACAAGCACATCAGCCTCTCATACGAGGCTTTAATGGCCCGCTTTAACATGGGACATGCTGTTCAAAGCTGAGCTTGTCTCGCTTGTTTGTTTTTTATGAAAAAAGTGGAACTCAAATCACTCGAGGGAATAACGGGACCCGTGCAAATATGTGTTTTTGCATCTTGACATGTGTAAAGATTCACAGAAAAATGGTAACCGTTGCTTTAAGAAATGCGTTTATTCATAAGTTAGTTCATGGTGCAGATTTGACAAAGAGTTTTCATTGATAACTACTTATTTTTCATCCTGTTCTCAGAGATGGCTTTCAAGGGTAGTAGAAGCCATTTATAACTTTCTAAATATCAACACGCATAACAGATAAAGGCATTCGGTTAGAATGTGAATAACTTTTTCATTCTGTTTTTCTTTTTGTTACTGCTTTTGTCCGGGTATTTTTTCCCTTCCTAGGATGGAACACGTGGTTAATTCAAGAACCGACCTGCCATGATAGGCTAGTACAAGTTAGCCAATGTGCCGCCATTGCGGAATTAACATGCGTAGAAAGGGCTAGCGTTTTACCCGTTAGCTGGCCGGGTGGGTTGGTTTTTCCCTGACCTCAGAGAGTGTGTTTCAGTCGAGGCGAGGCTCGGACGCACCGTCTAAATTAGATTACCAACCATCAGGCCAGATGTGAAAAGAATCTGCCTAAAAGTTGTCCTTTTTTTGGTCCTCTGTAAGATTATGTTTGTTTTTTTGTTTTAGTTTAGCTCACACTTTTCAACCCTGATATTTAGAGTTAAGAGGAAAGCAAGGAGATTTAAAAAAAAAAAAAAAAAAAAAAAAAACCCCCCCCCCCCCACGTTGTTCATTTCTGGCAGGTTTCGTGAGCCCGGGGCTCATGGAGGAGACTGCTCTTTGCCTCTGCTCAACCTCGCTGGTTTTCACAAAGAGAGGCTTTCATCGACGGTTATGGACTCGTTGTGTTTCGGCCTCACAAAGAGGGCCATTGAGGAAGGCCGAACCTTCGCCCCTCGCAAACGGGGGAGCGACGGCTCGGGCTCCAGCCCCGTTCGCCGAGACGGACCCGCAGTCCTCCTATCGGGTCGGACACCAGCCGTGTGCGATGCGGATGAGAAGGAAGAGCCCCCCCCCCCCCCGGGGAGGAGTGCGTCCAGCGGCGTCCAGCGTGTGCAGGCCGAGCTTTTGCGCACGTGCCCCACAAAGTTACATTGAGCAGAGCCGTAGCAGAGAGTTGGGAGTGTTTGGCCATGAGGTAATGTGACAAGAGGCAGTTTGTGCCAGAGATTTCTAGGAAAAAGCGCCCCGGCTGCTATGATATTCACACACATGCTGTAAATCAGCCCCTCATTCCCCTTCTGCTGAGCGTGTGTGTGCGTGTGTGTGTCTCTGTGTTCGTGTGTGTGAAAACATAGGAGAGACACAGTTTGTTTTGTAAAGTGCGGACTGCGAACGCGGTGTGTGTGCGGGAGTTTGCGTCTGTGTGAGTGTGCGGGAGTCAACAGGGGAAGGGGGGGAGGGAGGGGGTGTTTCCTTTCCCGCCCACAACATACGTCCCCTTGGCATAGAACACTGTGTCCTTGTAGCTAACACAGGAGGCGATGTTAAAAACCACATTGTGGCCGTATTTTGATTTCAAGGATGGCCTCAAAGTGGGCTCTGATATGTAGAAGACCCCCCCCAGGCTGGCTTGTTCCTGGCTTTAAAAGTATGTTTTTGTAATTCTGTACCTCGTTTTGTAAAAGGAGGACATACTCTATGGGCATGCATTAGCTGTTTTGTTTTTATGTCAAAGGTCAAAAGATTTCCATCTGGAGAACCTAACAACTTTTCATCTTTTTTTCCTTTTTCCTTCACATTAGACAACTTGTAAAACCGCATTCTGTCAGCAAAGGGTCCGGGGGAGCGGCCCTTAAAGTTTATGAAGCCATCCGTGCCTTTCAGCATACATTCCTATGTTAAAACAAATACTTCCTTTCTCAATGTAGCGCCCTTTGCCGGTTTGATCGCCCGTTAAGCAGGAGAGGGGGCTCAGCATTTAAGCCGGCCCCTCGGAGGGGGCTTCGACACGCTGTATTCGTAGGAATAAAGTTTGATTATGTTGTTTTGTTTTTTTTCTCCTTTTGCACCATCTCAGCTCTTCACTCTTTTGTCTCTTCTCTCCTTCCCCGGGTGTGGTTGACACAGGAACCCCTCCACGGCTTTCTACCAGGCCTTCCAGTATGGAAGCAGATTAAGAGACTCAAAGGCCCACAGTGATAGGTACAGTACTTTGCCGGATTGGACTGGGCAGGCCTGCAAGAGTTTTAACATTGTGTGTGCGGTGTTGGATAGCAGTGAGCTTTGCTTTTCTCCACGTGCATGGATTGAGTTTGGAAACAAAGCCTGGCAGCGAGCGCTGGATTGGCCAATAGCCTCCCTTTTTTCTTTTTTTTTTTTTTACCAACCTCTCTGTCTGTCTGCGTAATTTTCCCCTCCGCCTCCGCCTCAGCAACGCTTTCTGTTTTCCTCACTTTGATAAGTCCCAGTCGCAAATAGAAGGGAAGGTCCAACAAGGTAAGCCGCCCAATCGGTCAGGCAGTTTATCAGACTGGGAACACGTCTAACCAGTCTTTTAAAGGTAAGCCACCAGGTTAAAATGCCTTGATCTAAGGTCTGATTGGCATCTGTAGGGGGGAAAACTCACCATTCAGATGGAGTCCATCAGTTGGTTTTATGAATAAAAATAACCACAGGCTTTGAAAATCTAGTGACTGAAAATCTGCTTTCATTAAAATAAATAAATAAGTAAATGGCTTGCTCATATCTGGCTCAGCCATAGGCTCCAATCCACCTATGTGACACCCTATTTGGACTAAGGGAGTATAGTAAATGGATGGATGAATAGAACATTGCAAAATTGGACAATATGGGGCTTATCCTTGGTATTTTAAAGATATTATTATTACAATAGTCCTACAGATGTACTGCTATTGTTACAAAGTGTTAAGCCTCCCATTCCGCAGTATTAAAAAGGTTCAACAAAGCTGTGGGTTTTTTTTTTTTTCCTTCCCTGTCAGGGAATGAAACTTCATGCTGCCAATGAGAGTTTGAGGGGGAATAAAGCTCCTGCATGAGTTTTCAGCTAAGAAGGAACTCTGGACCGTTTAGGTTTCCCCATGTCAAATGGGAAAATGTTCCATTCCAAACCCCCAGCATCGATGTTTTGATTTTTAGAGAACCCCAGAGAGAAAGCATTGAAATAGCAGCGAACAACCCCCAAAAAAGAGAGAAAATAAGACGATTATGAGTTATTTACCCCCCATTGGTAGGCATTTGTAACACCTATAGGGTAAATATAGGGGGTTAAATGTGGCGGGAAAGTTGTGAAATAGGAAAAAACACTGACAGTGGGATTTTTAGCCTAAGAGGAACATGGTTATGGATAGTGAAAGTTTGGTGCTGTTGTACAGCGTTGCTCTGATAAATGGCAGGAAAATCAGCCGATAACCCACAATGTCAACTTGGCTCAGGTCTGCAGTCGGGATGACGTGTTGGGACCAACGGGGGCGGCTGGTGCTGATTTTTTTGTCACTACTTTGGTAAAGCGTCGCATTCTTCCTGCCGTATGTATTTAAGGCAGCGTTGGGAGTCTGCTCCGAGCGCCCAGTCGGCAAACTTGGCCTCAACGCAGCTGAATGGTGACGAAAATATTAACAAGCAGACAAAGAAATCCAGCGGAAATCCAGCTTGTTATTTTTTTGCTAACATTTTTTAATCCCGTTAAGATAACAGCAACCACAACAGCATTAATCATTATCGTTATTAATAATAATGATAATAAATAACAATGCTTTTTACAATTACACCAAGTTTATGTTTAGAAATGGGCATGTCATTTTTTATATTAATAAATGATTGCAATATTATTACTAATCATAATCAAAACCACCAATGCTATCACTATATAAAGTAAATACAAATAAAAATTATATTGTTTAGACAGTGATCACCACTGACTATGATGATAATATTTATTATTGCTATTGTTGTGAATCAGTGTGATTTGTTTTATGAATTGAATGGTCCACTGGCTAATAAAAGTTTGGTAAATAAAAAAGTTTTTGGAAAGAAGCCCTTTGGTAAAAGCAAATGGTCACAGTGGTCAGTTTAAGATCATGCTGTCTGGCTGTATCGGGACTTTAAGAAAAACACGGTTCTGGCTCAGTTCGGTAACTTTTCACCACTGTCAAAAGGCTTTTGTTCGTTCCAATTTGCATTTCAAATGTTGCGCATTTGGACGGAGATAGAGTGCTTTGGAAGGGCCTGAAGCCGATGCCATTTACCAGAATTTAAAGAAAAAGAAAGACAGGAAATGAAAGCGCTTTTAGGGAAATCTACAGCTGATACACCATCACCAGTCTCCGAGGAACACACAAACAAATCAGTGCATTTGGTGCTTTAACCTCTTTGGTTTGGATGTAAACAAAGGAGATAACTCTATCTGCTTCCTCTGAACTTACATGCTGTGAGCACTGGGGCGGATTTCTCCTCTCAGTTGAAGTTGGCAAACAAGTAAGATGGCACAAAAAGAGTTTTTTTTATTTTTTTTATACGAGTTCTGCTGGTTCACCTCTTTTTCTCTGCGCTGTTGTGGAGACCATGTTTCGCCAAGGCTGCTTTGGTTTCCATGGAAGCGAGGATAACCGTGGATTTGTTTGGGGCAGTGTGTTCGGCAGAAACTCTGGTGTCCCAGACCTGCTTCATTCAGGTCTGTTTCGGGTAATTTTTTGACTAAACCAGATGAAATCGAGTGAGAGATTGTGATGGTCAGTGTCATTGACTTTCAGATAAATTCCTTGTAGGGATAGTAATGAAGTTGTTGTCGTATTGGTTTTCTTCCTGTTAAGTCAAACCAAATGGTTAGCTGTGATATAACCTCACTGTTTCTATAATTTTTGGACAGACTACGATAGTGTTAGGTAGGACGGAGTATTAGGGCCACGTATATTAAAAGATATATATTTTTGGAATTAATAACAAGATTAAAGTTGTTATTAAATATGGTGAGAACAACTAAGTACATTTCCACAAATTCCATGCATCACATCCCTCATTTGATCAACTCTCTTCTTCTAAAACGGGATACAATATTTATGCCATGTTTAATAACGTTTTTCATCTCGTAAAAAATTCTCAACATACTTAATAACGACTTTAATCCTGTAATTAATTCCATTCAAAAATGTTTTGGCATTAATTACAAGATTAAAGTGATGAATAAATTATGAGATTAAAGTCATTATTAAATATGGTGATAAGACTGCTTGATGCATTTTCTTGCATATTCTTTTTAACGTCCTGATACTTGTGACAATCTGATGTGTCAAAAGACATTTCCATTAAATGCTCCACGGCCCTCATTTTATCAACTCTCCTTCTCTAAAACAGGATAGAATCTTTGTGACTTTATTCTTGTAATAAATTCTAGCCATATTTTATAACAACTTTAATCTGATCAATTTATATCTTGCCATGTTTAAGAACGACTTTAATCTGGTGATTTATTTAAAAAAAAAAAAAAAATGTGGCCCAAAAACTGTCGTAGAAAGACATTAGATTATTTTTAAAATGTATAAAGGCCATGAAATGAACATGCAAGGATTGTTTTGGGAGAGATCCAGCTAAGTGGACTGTACTAGCAGTTTCCTTGTGTGTTTTTTTTTTTTTTCCCACAATGCAGTGTACTTTAATTTTTTTCAGTGCCTTTATCCGTTGATTTTTTTATTATCCTAAAGTCCTAAAATTTCGCAAGCACAAACGCAAATTACTAGAATTTTTCTTGCATGATTTTTTCTTTTTACATTGCAAAGTAATACCATTTTTCTGGTATGTTTCTTATTGTAATGTTCCAATATTTTGCAAGCACAGCCACATACTTTTTTTCACGTACTATACATTTTACCTACTGTTCTGACATTTTTAGAGCACGGATTTTAACCTGCTGTAGCAGCATTTTGCTAGTATTGTCTTTAAGTATACTTTTAAGCGCATTTTCATATTTTTAGCACATGTTACGCCTTCATAAAGATAATTGTTGTGTTACTGGTAGCTAACATGTAGCTAACTTTTCTATAAAAAGAAAACAAGGTTTTGGTGACAGAATTCAGCACAATTTCTATTACTTTGGTGCTTTTTATAGATGCATATTTTGTATATTGGTGACTTTGATTAAATGTTTTTTTTTTTTTATCTTAAAAACCAAACACCATCTTTATACGGATACAGTGAAAAGTACATGATTTCAGAGGAAGGCTTTCAAATGGAAGCTTTTTCAACACGTTGAAGCGACTAGGTAGCTTTGACTCTATGCACCTGTTGTCCTCGGACACGTGACGAGGATTATTCTGCCAAGCTCTAAACATGCCCTGCCATGTCTGAGCACCAGGTAGTGCCCAGCTACTTCTTAAAGTCGGTGTTGAGGAAAACATCCTCCATTCCGATGTGTCAACAAATCCACCAGAGGCAAAGTAATGACAGCTATTCGAGTCCCCCGGTGGAGTGACTCATCCCCACTACTCCCCTTGTCTCCCCTCCATCAAAGGGGCTCCTTTCTATTCCCTCAAGGACTTTTTATTAACATTCCAGTGGCGCAGCTTGCACCGTATAGAAAGCAGCGAGCCCTAGACAGAGCTTACAAATGTCAGCTTTGCTTATGGTGAGGGCAAAGTTTGCTCTCGTTGCGTAACGGGAGCAGAGTAAGTTGATACCCTCATTAGCATTCTGTTTGATTTCAGCTCAGGCCAGCAGCCTCTGAGCTCCGGCGTTCCACGCATTAGCAGCCCCCCGAAAAGAGCCCGATTCGGCTCGGCGTCAGAAGCCGAAAACGGGTTTGATCGAGAAGCCCCAACAAGTTTACATGTGTCAGAGCGTCGCTCCAAGCAGAGCCGCAAAACACTTCCCAGCCATGCCGCTGTTTCCAAAATCCCCCTCCTCCCCTTTCTCCTCCTCCTCTTCCTCCTCCTCCTCCTCAGTGCCAGTTGTTCTTGGAAGTTCAACTTGGATTACCAGATGGTGTCCTAATATGGCTTTGACTTGATTATAATTCCCGTGTGCTACAGTATTACCAGCGCATTTGAGTATCTGCCCAAAGCATCGCAATTGAACACAATCCTCTCACCCTCCGGCAAGCAGAACCCAGAGAGTTCATCGTCCAGCTCTCAACTCAGGAAGATCCGTCTCCTTAGGAACCCCTTTCTGTAGTGTTGATGTTTTCCCGTCTCCACAGCTACCGATCCCATTTCCGGGGGCCGTCGCTCATCCCACCGACGGATCGGGGCCGTTACGAGTTTTTTTTCTTTTTTTTCTTCCTCTTTTTATCCCCCTGATGTGGTTACAGTTGTCTCACTCCACCTCTCCACCCAAACCAGCTGGAGGGGAAGTCTCCAGGGGGGGGGGGGGAAGCGTCATGTCCCCCCCCGAGTGAGCCAGAACGAGGGAACAACCGTGCCGCGTCACTTTTAAAGTCGGAACAGACGGAGGGCGTGATGGCTGAAAATGAACTACCAATGGTTTTAGGCCCAGCTACTCCCGACCCCGACATATTCATTGTGGAGATTCATCTTTTGCGGTTTGAATAAAACAGAAGAAATGTAATGTTATAGGTTGTTTTGTTTTTCTAATTTAATTTTTTAAAGCGGTAAGAAGTTAAACTGGGATCTAGATGAAGGGATGCGCCCCTATCCCGGGACAGTGCTTACATGTTATGCTACAGAAATAGGGGCATTTTTCTTCAGTTGTAAGCGTTTTAAACAGGACGCGCTGTACACTGAACACACGGAGCGTCCATAGGAAAAGGTGGCTGTTTTGTTTTTGTTTGATTTTTTTACATCTATAAAGATTTCTGGTGTAAACTGGTCAAATTTACACCATCCCTGACTGACCTGAAGCTAAAAACAAGCGCACAAAGAACAAAAAGGGGAAAAAAGAACCCTAACCGTCACCGCTTTTCGCACCGAACTTTACCGTCCCCTACCAGGTCTGTCCTGCGTGTTTTGTTTTCCTGCACCGTTCTTTAAGCCACCGGCGAGGCAGCGAGGGCGTGACCCTCGCGTCCGTACAGAGTCTGCGTTTTATAGAGCGAGAGATTCCTCCCAGGCCCGTCGAAGCCTCGCGTCAGGGAGGAAAACTTTAGGAGAGTCTGCACATGTGACGCCTCATCTAAATTGAACCCACATTTAGCAGAGGGTGAAGTCCCTGTTGATGCTTTTTTTTTTTCTCTCTCTCTTTTTCTCCCATAGATTTGGGTTACGAAACAACTCACTTGGGGGGGTCCCGTACTGTGGTCTGTGAAGGGGGAATGCTAATGAGCGAACGGCGACTGCTGATAACTACATTCTTGAGTAGATGGGGCCAATAAATCCTCTTTTTTTTTTTTTCCCTCGTTTTTTTTGAGGGGGGGAAGCGTAACTTTCCGCCGTCCTGCCGCCATCATACATCGTTACCAAAGACGGGCTGTTGACCCCCCCCCACCACCGTAGCAGCTGAGGTGTAGGGGACATTCCTCACCAGTACAGCGCGCTGATAACAATCAACTGAGTGCTTCCGTTCGCTTCTTACACATAGATTTGCACGGTGGAGGAACGGAACATCTTGTCCCGGGGTTCGCTTCAAGGCACCCCCCCACCCCCGCATGATGGCGTAGAGCTTCCCATAAAAAGGGAAAAAATAGGATGTAATAGAAAGTATGCAGTAATCTATATGTTGATTATTACCATTATTATGCCCTGTTTTCACAAGTTATTAAAACATGCATTACCTGAGGGTGGACTGGCGAGTTACAGCCCTCTGGTGGTTGAAGCATTTACTGTGGACGCTCTGAGAAAAGCACCACAAAGAAATCTGCACATAAAAAGTGTGTTAACCATAAAGTTAAAGACGAGGAATGAAAATGATCCCTAAATGAAGGGAGCCACAGGGCAAACAGCTGAGTTGAACTGAACCCAGTGTGCTTAGGATGGGAAATCTTCAGCACACACACACAGATGCCAACACTGCGTTGCGTAAGTTGGATTGTCTCACTGGGCGGAAATATACTCTGTCCGTCCGGTGTCTCCAACTTGATGTTTGCGCGATTACCAGAAAGTGATGCGGGTTTCGTCAATGATCCTCGATTTTCTGTAACCGAAATCTATCCGCTGAGGATTTGCTGACGACGATCCTCCTGAGACTTCAGTTCCACGGCACCCGGCCTGAACCGTCACGATGCCGGCACTTTAAACGGACAAAGTCCCACTTTAATGTCCCGTGACACCAGAGGTCTTTCTACTGACCCCTTTGATCAGCTGGATGTAAAACCAGCTACTTTAACCGGTGGGCTAGCAGGTCTGAAGATTCCCTGCTTGCGAATTTCAAATTCTGGTATTTGGGGAATGGGTCCCATCAGTAAAGAACGCAGATGAGTTTTCTTTGTGACTGTCAAATACATCGATGGCCCTTTTTTTCCCTCACCGAGCCTTACTCGCTTTGGTTCAGCACAGGTTGTTTTCCATTGCTAGAGAGGTTGGAACATGTAGACGGCCCCAAGGTCCCATGATGTCATGTGCATGCTTCACCCGGCGATGATATACCGGCTGGATCTTGTCGTTCCAGTGGCTCTTTGGCTGTTCCTGTGTTTTTTAAATGGGCCAAAGGGAGGAGTCTCTTTCACGACCCATCCAGTTATGTGACTTCGGGGCCACTCGTTGGCCTACAATCTGTAGTAGGCTCGACCCGGCTCACATGTATAACCCCTGCTGGGTGGGTGCTAAAACCGGAACGGGGACCAGTCAGTAGCACCTGATGGAAATTTAAAAAGAAAAGTTGAGACAAGCCCAGTAGGGCTAAATAGGTAATAGTAGAAAAGGGCCACAAATTACTTTGTTTGGTTACTACTAATCTAAAGTTCGGTTTTAGCCCAATTTAAGGAACAACAGTCTTGGGGGGCGCGGTTACCCACTTAAAATCCATCATTTATCTCAAATTTGAGACCAAGCAATTCAAACCCTGAACAGGAATCTGAATAAAATCTGTTTGACAGTCCAGTATCGCAATTTTTTCCAACATAGCTCTTTTTGAATATCTATCCATGACAACGGAAAGAAATTGTTTATTACATTTTCCAACCCCAAACAGACATTTAAAACATTAAGCATGTTAAACTAGTCAGCCTGACTGAATTTGTACCGAAAAACCTTTCCGAGATGAGCGCACCAAGATCAGTTTTAAAGTCAACTAGATGAAAATATCTCTGAAAACCTTTATTTAAAAAAAAAAAAAGAAAAGAGGTGCCTTTTTAAAGAGGCATTAACATCCCAACAAAATGGCTCACTCACCATACTTTGGGATTTCTTTTGTCAGACTGCTAGAAATTGTGACTGAACACCAGCACAGAAGGACAATCGTAGCACAATCAGCAGTGTTATCTGACAAAATCACGAGTGAATGAAACTCCACTTTCAAGTGCACGGTTTTAAGATGAACTTGTATGTTTCTGACACATTTTCACTGGAATATGATGATGGACAGAGCAAAACTTTAGTAACGTAACAATGCAATACAAATAACTATGTATTTCTGGAATATTCTTGAAATGTACTAGTACAATTACTAGCTTTTTCTGAAATATTCTTGAAGCGTAGTAGTACAATTACTAGCTTTTTCTGGAATATTCTTAAAATTTAGTAGTAAAATTACTAGCTTTTTCTGGAATATTCTTGAAGTGTGAGTGAATGTTGTTGAGGAAGTTGGGAAAGTGAAAGATTTGAATTAAAAGAACTCTGCAAAGGACTGCATGCTCGGGAAAAAAGTTCCAGGAACAGGTTTTGGTTGCCTTTGTTTTAAAAGTCCTGTATGTGTCACAAGTGCCCTTAGGGTAGTATTTGGTTTTGATTTATTCAGGGTTGGACTGCTGTCGGCGCCAGTAGCCTGTCGAAGAAGGCTGGCTAGCTCAGTAATTTAAAGATCGACGTCGCGTCTCTCTTAGCGGTTCGCAGCCTGTATAAGGCGGACGGAGGCCGGAGTATTTTCAGAGGGGGTCGCTTCTACTTTAAACTTTCTCAACGGTTCAGCTCGTGTTTCATCGTTCTAAATGCGGCCACCCATTTAAAACCGTCCCGGTGCTCTCCTCGCGGCCCCCTCTTTCCGCCACCAGCAGCGAGGCGTCGGCGCCATGCGGTGCCCGCTCTCGGTCACTCGGTCGGCTTGTCCCGGGGACCCGAGCCGGCGCGTGAGCTCGAACGGCCGCGTCTACCGCACGTGCGGCAGGTAAGGGTTTCCGCGTGCGCCGCCGCACGCGGAGATCTCGGACCAGGCGCTAGCTAACGAACACACACACACAGACGTCGGTGGCTTTAAACAGCTGTCAGATGAAAGAAATACTTTGTTGATAACAGCAGAATATATGGGTACAACCGCTTTATCTGTGGTATTATCTGCTGGGGCTCCTGGCTGTAACTTATGGAGAATTAGACAACACAAACGCCCGACCTAGATGTGACCTGACCTACATATGAGAAAGCCCGACTCACTTTTGTTTTTGTCTTGTTGGTTTTCAGAACTTTTTTTTTTTTTTTGGAAATGCCTATCCATGTTTGTTCCTAATTATCTTTGCCTGAAAGTAAACGAGCAACGAAATACCTTATTTTCTTGGTGTCTAAATTCTAAAACTAATCCTGAAATCCTTTTCTCTCCCTTTCCTCCAGTGCCTCTGGAACCAACATTGTTGCCATTGACAATAAGATTGAACAGGCAATGGTGAGTAAGCCAGTCACTTTTCTGATTTAAACAATCTCCAGAAATCTTGAGTTAGTTCTGCTCAATCCAGGCATCAGACTGTTTTCCTCTTTGTCTTCTTAGAAGCCGCTTTAAAACTTTGAACGTTACTGTGACACACACGTTACATCCCGTCCCTCTCTTTCCCCAGGACCTGGTGAAAAGCCATCTGATGTATGCAGTGCGCGAAGAGGTGGAGGTCTTAAAGGAGCAGATCAAGGAGCTATACGAGAGGAACTCTGTGCTCGAGAGGGAGAACGCCGTGTTGAAATCCCTGGCCAACAGCGAGCAGCTGTCTCAGCTGTCCACCCAGTCGGCCGCCACGCCTCCGCAGCAAGGACTCAACCAGCCTCAGCCTCAGCAGCAGCAGCAGCAGCAGCACCCCCAACCTCAACCGCAACCCCAGCCCCAGCTCCAGCTCCAGCACCACCCTAAACCCCAGCAGCTCCAGACTCAGCCTCAGCTCGACCCCGGCAAACAGCTGCAGCCCAACGTCACCTCGGCTTGAAGTGCACCTGCCCTGCTTTGCTCAGGGCAGTCTAAAAAGAAAAAAGAAAGAAAAAACTAAAGAAAAAAAAGAAAAAGAAGAGCATTCTTGTACAACTTATTATAATTAGTGTATGTGAAAATTAAAAGGAAGAAAAAACTTTGTCTTCTTAGCCACCAGCTTGACCACAAAAAAAGTACAGTGCTTGTGAATGTGTGCGTCAGGGTGAGTTAGCCAGCGAGACTGTGAAAAAGCGTCCGAGTGTCTGTGTGCATCTGTACCGTGGGCCTTTCCAGTGTTAATGCAATCATCCAGAGAGCGGGAGGGAGGGAGGCAGAGGGGGAACTTCAGGACGGGTCGAGGCGGGTTCTCGTTTTACACCTCGCTGTGGTCAGCTGTCAGCTCCGGTCTCGTGAAAAAACGCCATCTTTCATCCACCCAGAGGAGGATCTCCCTGACCTCACAGCCCCCCGTCCCAAAAGCAATTTGCAGAAACCAGCGGAGTTAAGGAGAAGCGGGGGTATTGATTGTCAAAAGAGCGAATATTTTTTTTAAAAACAGGACACAGAGTGAGTTAAAAAAAAAAAAAGGGGGGGGGGGATATTTTTAGCCTTGCTGTTCCACCTTGTAAAATAAGAACCGGAAGTTGTTTTTGTTTTTTGTTTTCTTTGTTTTTTACTGAGCCCACACCGCTGCCGTTACTTTTACATCGAGTCCAACTCTTGCAAACAGTCTTCAAAGTTCTACTGTTCTCGTGTTTAATTTATTACCGGGCTGCTATTTTTCAGAAATGAACAATGTCAAAGAAACCTGTCAAAACAGTAGCCCGTCGACGCGTTTCGTTTTCTTTTTTCTGTTCTTTTTTTCCCCCCACTTACGTCGACCGCACTTCCCTGGCACCGCTTTGTGTAAAATAACAAACAAACAGTGTACAAAAACTAAACAAATTCTGACAAATGTTGAACACTAACGCTGATTTTACGCTGAAATTGCCACCTGACGGCACGAGCTCGATTGAATGTAAACTCCCGCGCGGTGTGAAGTATTACAGCCACTCTGCACCTGCTATCAAGCGTTAATGTGAGTCTCCAGCCGGAAATAAGAAATAAAAGTCGATTAGTTCCTTTTAAAATGAATTGGTATTGCCATTCCCTCCTCCTCATTGCATTTCCCTCCCACCATTGTTTCAGCAGAGGAGGGGTTAGTCTAGGGGGGGGGGGGGGAGCTGTGAAATCATCCAATGTATGTCAACCAAAGATGCAAAGCTGTGTAAATTATTTTGAAATGCACATTTTTCTTTTGTTACTTCCTCCTTCACAACATTTTTTTTGTGTTGCTGTTCAGCATGTTTCTGCATGATCTGTAATCTTCAAACCACTTTCTTACCTCATTTTTATTCAGCACTCTTATTGTAAGATAGTCTGTGAACAGTGTAAATGGGGCTGTGGGGGGGGGGGGGGGGGGGTCACGCGCAGCAGCGAGTCAAAAATAACCTAGTGTCACAGACACTAGTCGAAGAAAAATGAAGTGAGCCATGTTTTTCTTTTCTTTTGTTCATTTAAATGGTGTTTGAATTTCATATGCCAATAGTTTTGTTACTTTGCAAATTTTAATGTATTTAAATAAAAGCAATATTCCAGATTCCAAAAATGTTAAAAATGTTATTTTTTCTGGAAGAACAGCGGCCTCCCTAAAGGCTTTTCTACGACACATTTCATTTTGTTTTTTTTATTTTTCCAACGATTCTTTGGCTCTAAGGGTCTCTATTTAACGGTGGCCAAGCAGAAAGGGGCGAAATGCAGAGAAAAGGGTCATCAGAACAGAAGCATCCAGCCTCTAGACATGGGCAAAACTCAAGTCAACCTGCTGAGCTAAAAGCATGTTTGACCAGCACAAATAAAAAAAATATATGTTGGTTGCTTTGTTTGTTTGTTTTTACCTGTTATCCATTGGTTCCAACCAGATCATTATTTGCCCAGTTAAGGCGCTAGATAGTATTTTTTGCATTTCCACTAGGGCCGAGCCCTAAATAGTTACATTAAAGCCAATGTTTTCAGGCTCCCATCAGGGCTGTGCAGACGGACGAATGCAAGGCTCCGATTGGCCAGGCCAGCCCCGCCCATTTTTAAGACGCAGTGACAACAAACGCTCGGTTTCATTATTTCTGTGATCAAAAGCGTCGTAAATGCTCAATGCACGAATCAAAACGATCCAGCAGCGATGTTTGGTCAGTATATATTTGTCGAAATGTCCTTTATTGTTCCCTCGTCCTTGTGTCGCGTATAAATCACGTCACGCTTCTTGTGCGGCAATAATTTGTAATGGAAAATCACCAAAGGCGCGTATGGAAACCTGCCACTAGTCCCTTTGACTGAATAAGGCTAAAAAAAGACAAGCTATTCGTTCAGGGGAACAGATCTCGTTCTAAAGACCAAGGCGACAGAATCGCTATTTAATTTTTTCTGTTATAAGAAGAGTAAATGCCCACACTTAAAACAAACGACACAGAGCATTTTCGCGTATAAATTACAGATCTCCCGACTTTAGGAGGGTCTTGCTCACACTTTCAAACTGTCACACCTGATTGCTGTGGGAAAAAAACGGGGTTTTGTATTTCTTTTGCTGTCCTATTATGGTAAAAAGTGTGTAACTGAAAAGCCATCTGAAAGCTGTTCTGACGCTGAACACATATTTACATAGAGAAACTGATTTATTTTAAAGGACTTACAAAAACCGTCCTCAAATGTTCCAAAAAAACCAAACCAAAAACACAAACAAAACGGGTGAATGCACGTTACCCTAGCGAATAGACAGTGGTCATCTCTGTAGGAGAAATGCTGAGAAGGTTAACATTTCCACATCCAACTGTGGTGGTGGGGGGGGGGGGGGATGAAAAAGACTCCCCAATGTAGAACATCCATAATACATACAGCCGAGCACAGCAGGACGGACAATGGGTGGGAGTGTTTTTCAGACAAACTCTTCCAGCAACACTTGAGTTCTGGCTGTCCTGCTCGTTCGTCCCGTGGCTGACCTGCCCCCCGTCAGTGGCGCCGGTGGGTAGGCGGCGCCCCCCTCCCCACATCGGCCAGGTAGTGTTTGCCCGTGCGAGCGGGCTTCTCGGCATCGGCCGCCCAGTTCACCGGCTAGCCCACCGTCACGAACCGGCTGCCTTTGCTGCTCTGTGCGGCGGCCGCGCGCTGATCCTTCAGGATGCGGAACCTCTCGTTCAACGTCATCGACGTTTGCTGTGGAGGAAGAGTTTGAGGCTGGATCAAAAAGGGGAGGGGGTGGTCCGGTCATCTGACCGCACCCCGGTCCTAACGGTGTGCTCTCTCACCGGTGTCCCGACGCTGTTGATGTCAAACTGCAGGGGCACTCCTTTTGGGACCTTCTTCTCCGACGTCTCTGGCTTGACCGGAGGGGAGCTGACGGGCGGAGGGTGCAGTGTCCAGGCGGTGGCGGGCCTGCCGGGGGAGTCACAGCAAAGGAGGCTGCTCTGAGCGAGAACGTATGAGCCGCCGTTTCAATGAGCACGCAAGCTAGCACCTCCGGAGCTAGCGTGCGTGTGTTTCGGTGGGCTTTGTGCCGAATGCTTACTCGGGCTGAGTCCTGGCCGTAGGGTTGGCTATTGAAACGGTCAGGATTCCGCTGCCGGCTGTCGATGTGCGCCATCTAGTGGACAAGCAGGTCAGTCGACTCGAGCTCGCACACAAACAGACATTAGTGGACGGCCCGCCCCCGGATGACTTACTGCCGAGTCCGGACGGGAGGAGAGCGGGGAATGGGCTTCTGGACCTGGGCTTGGACCTGAGAAGCGCAGAAACAGAGTTGGCCGGGTCACGCCGACAAGCTGGAGCCAAAGCCTTAAAACACAGAGACCTGATCGATGTGGAGGGAGTACCTTCAGCCCCCGGCGGAAGAGAAATGTGGCCTGGCGCGCCTCCCTCTGGGTCTGCTGGAGGACAGGTGGCAGCGGCCTGCGTGGGCGCAAAAAAATAAATTCATTAAAAAAGCAGCGCTGACGTACAGATGTGGAAACATCTGATGTGTTAATAGTCGGCTGTTTTTTGGAGCCGCACCACTTGAGCCCACGTGTGCTGGGGAGGATTCTCACCGTCGTCTCAGCTGAAAAGGCCTCCTGATCGACGCCGAGTTCTGGTCCCTGCGCGGGTCCAGCTGCTGGTACAGCCGCCTCTGGACCTCCGGCTTCCTGTGCGGGGTGTCGGAACGCTGGACGAACGGCCTGGGTTTCGGTATCGTTTTCTTGAACGTGCAGCAAATATATCATAATGAATCATTAGCAAATCCTCCAAACGCAGGCGATTTGCACTGCCTCGTAAATGTCAGACGACACAAGCAAACATCCACCAATTTAAGGTTGTGTGGAACACTGGAACACTCTGAAAACACCTGAAAAAGACATCGATCTGGACTGGATCTCCCGGCATCAATGGTGCCTCTCCAGATGTGCATGTCTCTCTCCCACAGAGATTTCTCCAGATTCTAATAAACTTTTGTTACATTTCTTACGGTAGCTGATCAAATATACCCATTGTTCAAAATTTCACATTGAAGGACGCTACTAAAATTATTCTGTGAGAAGATTCAGTATTTGGGAGATTCCTGAACCTCAGTAAAGCTTTGCTTCGGAGAGACTTTTCTTTATGTTTTTTTTTTTGTTGTGAAAGAAATGTACTACCACATAGGAATCAACCTCCTTATTTTGGGAAAACTTATACTTTTAGAGACTTTTTAAAGACTTTGAATCCAAATAAACTAATGTTCTCAATAAAGAATCAAATGCATTTCACATTCAATAACCTCTCTTTTTCACTGTCATGCCAATATTTCCTATACTTCTGACAAAGCTTACAAACTTTCATATTAGAAATTCTCTTTTGTTTTTCACAACTATGAACACGTCTTTACATTATTTTCAAAGCTGTGGACAATGATCAGAAGGAAAGTTTTAATCGAAAAGTTATGAATGCTAGGTGCTATAAATAATGAGAACGCATCATAAAAACACAGAACAACTGCAGACAACAACTTTTTGACCTGTCGCCCAACATCAGCTGGGACAGGCTCCAGCCAGGAGACTTGGTAATTACATTAAACCCGGTCGTGCCAATTTCAGTTTTTGTTTACAAAGGAGAAAGAAAAAAAAAAGGCTGTTTAAACCTGCATCTTCAATCTCTGCTTTAACCGTTTCACATGCAATTTTCAGCTGGTTTAAATGTCACAGGAATGCCTCGCAGGAAGCCACATCATTATCCACCTCTGTGGATGTGATGCAGATTGGGGTATAAACTATTTTCATATCAAAACAAAAAATTATGACATAGCTGTGCGGCCAAGTCATGCATTGGGAACCATCTCCTGCACCATGTGCAAAGCTGAACAATTGTTCTTGCGCAAATAATGCTTAAAATAAAGTAAAAAAACAGAAAAGGGGCTTGTTCTGTGACTTCAGAATTAAGAATAAACTTGGTTGTTATGGTAATAGTGTCAGAAAGAGGATTTACCCCCCTCTTTGACAGACTATTTAGAGTGACAAGTATCTAAATGAACGGCAAATATCTATAAAATGAACTTGAGAAGTTGTGCAGTGTTCCTGGGCATGCAGGTCTCTTTTACCTGGGTGGGAGCTGCTCTGTTGAGGGTGCCAGCTTTCTTTAGCAGCACGGTTGGCCTCCGGGCTGCCAGTCCTGTGATGACCCCCTGACCTCGCCTTCTACCTGCCAGAGGAGGAACCCTTCTGTTTCTTAAAATAGCCGCCCCTCCTCGAGGCACGCCTCCTCCTGGTGATGAGGAATTGAACGATGTTATTTGCAGCATTCCTTTTTAACCTCTTCCTTTTTAAACATCCAGTAACCAGGCTCACCTCTCTGAGCTGTTCCTGCTGTCCTCTGAGAAAGCCCCTTTCCTTGGTTTAAAGGGCCTTTCTTCTTGAATGGTCGGCGGTTCACATTGGTTTGCCTCAGCTTAAACTGCTTCTCTTTTCTGTTTAACCGAATGATGTCATCTGCCAAAGTTATCACACGAATAATTATATGCCGGTGCGGCCTAATTCACAAATTTATTTATTTGGCTTCACTAGCCACTACAGCAGTGGCTAGCAATTAGCTGGGACTCTGAGTTAGTAACATTTGCCCAAGCAAATGTGAACCTTACCCAAGGACATGTCGACTTTATCTGGGCCCGCTTGTCTTATCCCCCGCTCTGCTGTGAAGCCGCCTTTATTCATAATTTCTGCCCCGACTAACAGTCCAAAGCCAGCAAAAGGGTTGAAGCAATTAGCATACACGCAAGATGTTTGTCTCTTTGAGGCTGCGCGACAACAGTAAACCTTCTGCCCCGCGCATGCGCCGTTATAAAACTTCAACGCCCGATGGGAATTGTAGTTAAGTCAATCAAAAACAGTGTTACGACACCCCCAAACGTGCTCATGTAAGCTGTTGTGTAAAGAGGAGGCTTCTTACGTGTGTCTGACTGGGCTGCCGAAGCAGTTGCTGTTTCGGTTGTACTTACGGGCGTTATATATATTTATTTATTTATTTTCTGTGTCTGTCGAAGTGCTGTGAAGACGGTTAACGTGAAGCTTCGCATCGTGTATGACCTGCGCGTGGACGAGGTATGTTTTTAAGGAATGTTCGCTATTCTTGAATGAGTTTGGCCAATATTCGGTTCGCGTTCACTGTTTGGTGTTTTAAATGCTCCTCCAACTTTTTTTTTGGTTTTTGTCGTAACCGGTGTCGCCGGTGTCATTTTCGTTGCGGTTTTCTTTTGCAGCTCATTCATTTTCTGTGCACCCAAGCGGTTGTGGAAGCTCGCCATTCGCCCCAAAAGGCCCAGCTCGTCACTCTCCCTCCTGTTCGACTCATTGGTCGGCGAGGCTGCGATGTCGGGCAAAAAGCGGAAAGCGTCAACCCCCGCCGGAGGCAAGGACCCCGGCGCCAAGCAGCCGAAGCTGTCCTCCTCCTCTTCCTCCTCGGAGGAGGAGAAGCCGAAGAGAGCCGCGGGCTGGCTGCAGAGCCTCGTCGAGCAGCAGAGGGCAGAGAAGAAGGAGATGAAGTTCAACAAAAAGCGCCAGCGCATTCTAACGGACGCAGAGAAGATCAAGCAGGGCTCGGAGGGGGTGCTTTACTGGATGCTGAGGGACCAAAGAGTGCAGGGTATGCGGGTAATGGTCCACCTTATGTTGGCACGCCTTTTATTTTCCAGATCTGTACTTACACTGTGTGTTTTCTCTTAGATAATTGGGCACTCATCCGCGCCCAGCAACTGGCTGCAAAGAAGGAGCTACCCCTGCATGTGTGTTTCTGTTTGGATGTGCCAGAGTCTGAGCTGTCCACTCTGAGACATTATGGCTTTCTGCTGAAGGGTTTGGAGGAAGTTGCAAAGGTAAAAAAAACTTAAATGACAATCCCGCATCCCCTCTAGGGATCCTCGATCCCTAGAGGGGATGTCCGCTGGGACGGAAGGGCGATTCTCATTGGTAAAGGGAGGGATTTGAATTTGGATTGAGTCTTTTTTCCATTTGCAAATCATGAAAGGCCCCTAAAAAGTGTTATCTATTCTGTTGTTGTTGATCGGACTACAAGGAAACACTTAATTAAACACTTAATAGATGAGCCTTCATCACTTCCGACTATTTCATTTGTCTCGAGAACATTTAGATACATTTGCGGCGATTTTCTTCTGTCAACTTGATTTCCAGCATAATGGTTCGCTACACTTGACTTCTTATACCATTTTTGCTGGAAAAAAGAATCGCTTTACACTCATCTGTGACACTTCAGGAGGAATTTTGGACTTGTCTCTGATGCTTTAAGGAGTAGTGTGTAACTAATGCTGACAAGTTTGAGGTTGCAACCATCAAACGATCCTTGCCCGGTCTTCTCTTTAAGCTACCGCCTCTGTAGGCTTTAGCTACTTTGATGAGTTAAATTCACACACTTGTAGGGTTTTTGTTTCCATTTCAAGCACAATTTCATTAACATACACCACAAAACAGCTGTCACAGTGTTGCTTTGGTCTTCATCCGTCTCCTTCTTGTGTGTCTTTTCCCGGTAATAGCATCCCGTGTCAGGTTTTTTTTCAAAGGCCTTTTAAGTTATTGCTATTTTTTAATCAGTCTTCAAATTGTTAAACATTGTCATTTGTCAGTTGAAAGAATTGAGATAGTGCTCATTTGCAGGAGCAGAATGCTTCATAAATCAGGCCTATGAACATGTAAACGATCCCCTCTGTAAACACCTCCTGGCGTCTCCTTTCAGAATATACAAAGCGGTGATGCCTTGTTCTTCTTTTCCCACCAAACAGGAATGCAAACACTTGAACATGCAGTTCCACTTGCTGCGCGGAGCAGCGGGGGAAGCACTCCCCGGCTTCGTGTCGGATCGCAGCTTCGGGGCGGTGGTGACAGACTTCTCCCCCCTCAGAGAGCCTCTGGGGTGGTTGAAAAGCGTCAAAAAGAGCCTGCCGAAGGACGTACCCCTCATACAGGTTGGAAAAAAAAACATTTTCAGGGATGTCATTTGTGCGAGGGGCCGACAGGATGTTCAGGAGAGCGGGTTGACAGGATGTTCCATCCTGTGGTTATTTTTACACCCACTTTGTCCCGTTGTCACATGTAGCTCTGATCTCAATTCTTCAGAAGGTAATGAGGGTTATTTTTTTCCCATATGCGTTCTGTATTTCCCTCACGTGCAGGTCGACGCCCATAACATCGTTCCCTGCTGGGTGGCTTCGCCTAAACTCGAGTACTCGGCCAGGACAATCAGAGGCAAAATCACCAAACTTTTGCCAGAGTTCCTCACCGATTTACCCCTTGTGGAGAGGCACCCTCACACTGCTACAAAGGGCGCCAAAGTGAGTGCTGCGGAGGCCTGGTCATGGAGGCTCAGAGCTCCTTTCGAGTCGATGGGCACCGTGAGCCTTTTTCGGGGCCTTTCCTCAGCGCCGTTCTCTCTGGTTTCTCTCCTCCACCCCGCAGCCGGTTGACTGGGAGGAGACCCTGGAGTCCCTGCAGGTGGACAGAACGGTGGCGGAGCCGGCGTGGGCCGAGCCCGGCGCCAAAGCGGGGATGGCCATGCTGGAGTCCTTCATCGACGTCCGCCTCAAGCTGTTCGGCACCCAGCGCAACGACCCCAACGTGGCGGCGCTCAGCCAGCTGTCGCCATGGCTGCGCTTCGGTCGGTAAACAAACCGTCTCCGCGCGACTGAATTAAGTCACGACAAGTCGCCGCTTCTGCGGAAGGGAAATAATGCAGGCTGTCCTTCATCTTAAGTTGTCGGCCAGACTAATAGCAGCTGCAAACAACCTTCGTGAAAAGAAGTGCTTCGCCTCACAATGAAGCGCATCTCCACACGCAGAATTTTTTTTCCCTCATTTAAAAAAAACAAACAAGTTGTTTTAAAGGCTACCACTCCAGTTTGTGGTAGGAATCAAATGCCAGGCAGTTGTCATGATGGTGCCACCTCATCGGTGTTGAGGGGATATTGTTTGTGGTCTCTTTCCACCAATAATCTCACACAGATTATCTGTTTCGATTGTCACCCCATGGTGTAAAACATCCCACATTCAGTCAGCAAGTTATAGATCACCCCACTCCAGTCGTTATTGTTCCCCTAAAAACTTTTTTTTTCTTTTTTATTCCTTGTTTTTTTGTTTTTGGCATCAGAACTTCCTGTACGCGATGACGTGCCAACAGCTTTTTCTTTCTACCTGCCCTGTTACACCAACAGGCACATTTTCTTGTTGAAAAAGGATGGCGCCCTTGGTCTGCTTTGCATGGTTCTGAGTGAAACCTCAAATTTTCCATTTCTTCTTATGGTGTTTCAATCCACAATCACATTGATATGAAGCTTTTTTTTATCTGATCAAAATAAAAAAAAATTCAATCTTAAGATTTATGTAGCTAATTGAGCTTCTAGAAACATGGTAATTCAGGCGGTCGTAGAATCACTCCTGCATCTATACAGGGTTTTTTATTTGATCATGGGGCTCATTGGCCAATCAGGACTCACCAGCATGCCCAACTTAGCACAATTAGAACTTTAGCCGAGTACGTGCTAAAACTAACTTTCAGGAAGCCCCCCTCCACCTCCCAAAAAAAAAAAGACAGTGGAGCTGAGTCTTGCTGATAAGGTACTAGTTGAACACCTCCATATGATGAACTAGATGAAACAGAAAGCACTTTTAGTCTGTCGCTCTGCTCTAATAAAATCCTGATTTCATCTGACAAAAGTCATCGGCCGAGTAAGCATAACTTGTATTTTAAGACTTTATTTCATCTTTATCCATGAAGGAAGCGGCTATAACATCCCAGGTGTTGAGCTCAGCCGGCATTGCCTACTCACTGCGTCCACCTTCTGCTGCCGTTTTCTGATCCCTCTTCACATTTTGTCGTCCCTCTCTGACCAGGCCAGATTTCTGCCCAGCGCGTGGCGCTGCAGGTCCAGCGCTGTGGGAAGAGCGCAAGTCAGTCCATTCCCCCCTTCATCGAGGAGCTGGTGGTGCGAAGGGAGCTGACGGACAACTTCTGCTTCTACAACAAGAAATACGACAGCGTGGAGGGTAGGGATGTCCCGATCCAGCTTTTTGCACTTCCAATCTGATACCGATACCGGCCTCTCAGAGCATGTATTAAAGTATAAAGTTATTTAGCCTACTTACTTAGCTGTCAGACTCATGTTGAAAAGGAATTTACTGTTATAACAACTAGCTAGCTGAATTAGGTGAGTTTGAATGATACACAATGGTTGGTCAAGAGACACTGACCTGTTTATTCAGGGATAAACGCAAAAGAGGATAAAATAATCCCACACAACTGACATTTTTACCGATAGCTTGAAATTTGCATGGCCGTCTTAATGGTTACATTAACACAGACCTGTGGGTTAGGAGATGCCAATGCTCGTGTGGTTAAGGGTGTGCTGGAAAATGACCGGATATTGGGGAACAACACAGCAAAGTGGAATGGAATTTTTGCAAATATTGGCGGGCGACCCGATCCAAATATCGGATCGGAACAAGCCTAGTGGAGGGTCGGTCCGTTTCCTGAATCTGAATGAACCCAACTTCAGAAGTTCTGTTTGTTTTTTTATTTTTAATTGTGTATCGATCCATTTTATGTGGCCAGGTGCTTATGAGTGGGCTCAGAAGACGTTAAAAGACCACGCTAAAGACAAGAGGGAGTACATTTACACACGAGAGCAACTGGAGAAGGCAAAGACTCACGACAAGCTGTGGAACGCTGCTCAGGTAAAACGCCGAGAGCGAAGCAGAGAAATGAGTCCTATTGGGTTGGAATAACCCTCAACTTCAAATCTGTAATATGTGACAGTCAGAGCAGTTTAGGGTGACGTCTTTTAAAAGAATTTAGAACTATGAGAACTGACCAGAGCTCATTCTTTCATTCTCCTACTCTTATTCATAGTGTTTAAAGCCTCTCAGTTATTGCAAACTTTTCATTTATCAGTATCAGATGGTGACCGAGGGCAAAATGCACGGTTTCCTGAGAATGTACTGGGCCAAGAAGATTCTGGAGTGGACTCCCTCTCCGGAAGAGGCGCTCTCCATCGCTCTGTACCTGAACGATCGCTACGAGCTGGACGGTCAGGACCCCAATGGCTTTGTCGGTAAGGAGTCGGGGGGGGTTAAATTCACTCACTTCCTCACTTGGCTGCCATCACACGCTGACACCGTCCCCTCCGTGTCTGGGTCCCCCGCAGGCTGTATGTGGTCCATCTGCGGCATCCACGATCAGGGCTGGGCAGAGAGGCCTATATTCGGGAAGATCCGCTTCATGAACTACAAAGGCTGCCTCCGGAAGTTCAACGTGGCACAGTTTGAGAAAAAGTACTATCCCAAAAAGGCCTGAGGGCTGGTATTTATGAATAGCCTGTAATCTCTCACTTCTCGGCTCAGGAATATTTTTTTATAAACTTCTCAGTAGTGAAAGTTTGTCAGCATTTTATGTTTGTAAGATTTTGTTTTGCTCGAAGTTTTGTATTTTTGGAAAAACTGTAAGCTGTTTGTGTTGGTTTGCAATGAGCTGTGGTGGCCTTTTTGTTTTTTGTTTTTTTACTTTTTCTTTGTAAGCCGATCTTTTTTTTTTTTTAAATCTTTTTTTTTTTTAATGTAACTGCCGTCTTTATTTTCTTTCTAAATAAAATTCAACTCGAGTTGAGTTAAACGAACGGGAAAAAAATCTGTCCATGTCCTTATTATGTGAAACTGGACTGCTCTCCAGCCCAACCGTTGGTGATGAACTCGCAGAGATCTGCTGAAGGAACAACTCAGTCGCAGACTCAAACCTGCACCCAGAGACATTCTTCTTTAATTATCTCTAATAAGAAATAAAGATATGTACAGTATTTCACAAGGGCTGAGCTTCTTTGCTATCCAAGAAATGGTTTGATAAGTTTAATTCAACAGGAACTAAAAAAAAAACTTCCCTAACCTCATTAAATGCACCCTCAGAGGAGGATAAAAGAAGTCCCTACAGATAATGATGCACTAGGCAAAAATGTTCTAATTAAAGTATGAAGTCCGCCTTGTGCTTTGAGCAGGAATTTTGTCTTCGTTCAATTAAGAAGGGAAAAAAAACAGATAAAACTCTCTTTAATTGTGGTTTGGCTGCTGTTAACTGGTTTAAACTGGTTGGGAAAGACATCCACTATGTCGTGTTCTGAAGTTTGATTTGAGTCCAGTCGATGCTCTCTGTCATGTTTCAGAGGAGGAGCTAATAATCTCATTAGACGGTGTGATGAAAATGTGCACAGCATTTGGAACAAAACTTATTTTCCTCAAGGAAATAACCACTGACGTAAAGACATCTGACAACACCGAGGGACAAAATAACTTTGTGACAGATCTGGTCTATGGAGAATCATCATGGCAGCTCTTTTGCCTTAAAAACAAACTGCCTTAACCCCAGATAGGCTCACCTATCGGCATGAATTTGTTTCCCTTCTTAAGGGGCTCAAAACACCTTCAGACGTCACCGACTATGGCAAAAAAAACACAAGGGAGGGCAATATTACAGAGCCTGGAAAGAATAAGAATGCAATGAACAAACATGTTTAGATATGCAAGTTATTCTATAATAAAAACTGCTTTTAGATAAATAAATAAGGATTTGAATAGGCAACTCTGTGGAGTGACCTAACGCAAATCATATGTCACAGTCCCAAGTATTGCAGAGACCATTTTGAGAGGCAAGATTTTGGTGTGACTGTCATTTTCTCACCTGAGAAGAATCTATTTCCGTGTTATTCTTAGATTCAACTGAGGTGGCAGACACAGGTTTAATCTGTGTGGCAGACATATATCAGTTTAACACTCCAGGACTGTAATGTTGTTATGCTGACCTCTGAAGTGAATACCCTCATTGTATTACTGGACTAAATCACACATTTCAGTCTTTAAAAAATAATTGGAAATGGCTCGCGTGGCTGCATTTGCTGCATCTGTTATTGGAAACTATTTTGCTCACCAGAGGCCTTAAAACAAACGCGCAATGTAACATTGAATAAAATTGCGAGCATAAGTACGCTATCTACGAAATACATAAAAATGAACTACATGTTTTTAGCCCATCCTACAAGGTTCACTGCTGAGAAAAAAAATAGCACCGACACCTCACAACAAGTACTTTCCTGGTTTGAATCCTGATTTGAATCTCGGTTTGTATGTTTGGGAAGGTTCTGCCGAGGGACCCTGGATTCCTCCCACGATCTATCGTATATTCGTATATCGTATATCTATTGTATAGATAGATAGATAGATAGATAGATAGATAGATAGATAGATAGATA